ATTTATGGCATTCCTCCTGCTTCAGCTTCCAGACCACTAGATTACAGGTGGGGGCCACCACACTGGGTTTATACTGCCTAACACATGATACAGATATTAATTTACCTTTATTTATTATTTTTTTGGCAGAACCAGGGATTGAACTCAGGCCCTTGAATTTGCCAGGGAAGCCCTTATTCTACTGAGCCATCTCCCTGGCCCCAAAAGTTTAGATTATTAAGTGCAGGGTTGGGGCCAGCCAAATAACTCTGGATTAAAGTGTCTGCAAGCAGGCGCAGGGGGGTTCAATCCCTGGGCCTGCAGTGCCGGCCCCACCCCTGGGGTGCATTGAGATGGTAATTGAGACTGGGCACAGTGGCATGCGCACCTGTAATCCCAGCTCTTGGGAGGCTGTAAACAGGTGGATACTACAAGTCCTATCCAGTAGTGAGACCCTGAACACTCTGTAGACCCCCACCTCCACAAAAAAACAAAAAAACAAAAAACAAAAAAACACAACCAAAAAAGAAAAACAAAAAGTGGGTCTTAGGTTTGATCCCGGGTACTGCATACCATGCTGGCCCCGCTGAGCCAGTGAGAGAGTCCGGGCATGGTGGCTCACGCATGTAATTCCAACACCAGGGAGGCTGAAAATGGGAGGATCACTATGAGTCTGAGCTGCATAGTGAGACCCTGTACCAAATACAGTTTAAAAAAAAAAAAAAGTTTAGATTATATGGTACATAATTCAAAAGGCTGGAAAGGATACATAATAAAATGTAATCTGCTTCTCCCATGTTGCTCTCCTAAATGATAAGGACTATGCATTATCAGTTTTAGGGCATCTAATCTGACAGTTTAACAATATCTTTTTCATTTAACTTGTCGTAATTAGTCGTATTGTCATTAACAATAACTAATTGAAATGTATATCCTGACAGCAATAAATACTTTCAAAGAAGGGCCAGGGAGATGGCTCAGTAGAATAAGCGCTTCCCTGGCAAGCGCAAGCGCCTGAGTTCAATCCCTGGTTCTGCAAAAAAAAAAAAAAAAAAACCAAAATCTTTCAAAGAAATCAATGAAATATGCCAGGTGTGGTGGTGCACATCTGTAATCCCGGCACTCGGGAGAATGAGACCAGATAGCTCTTAGTTTAAGGCCAGCCAGGGCTACATACATAGTGAGTTCAAGGCCAGCTTGAACTACATAGTGAGACCCTATCTCAAAACCAAAACAAGAATAGAAATAAGACTAACTAAAGCATACTGAGAATCAGACACTAAAAGTATGATACATAACCTGGTGCAGCGGTCCACACCTGGAATCCCTGGCGCTCTGGAGGGCTGAGGCAGGAACAGCAGCCTGAGCAAACTGGTCAAGACTTTTGAGGGGAGACATCGGAATGCAGGGAGAATTGTGATGTGTTATGTATGTGTCCCAACTCCCCATGATGAATGGAATCATTGCGCTCTGCAGACGTGGACTAATAAAACTAAAAAACATTGTGGGAAGCCATAAAATATACCATTTCAGGCTGGCCAAATAGCTCAGTGGATTAAAGAGCCTGCAAGCAGGCACAGGGACCGGGGCTTGGATCCCTGGGCCTGCCATGCTGTGCTGAGACAGTGACTGACACTGGGCGTGGTGGCGCGTGCCTGTAATCCCAGCACTTGGGAGGCTGTAAACAGACAGATCACTATGAGTTCGATCTAGTAGTGAGACCCTGAACACCCTGTAGACCCTTCCCTAAAATACACATAAAATAAAATAAAATATACCATTTCAAAAAAAAAGCCCAAGACTATGGTGATATAATTCAGCGGTAGAGCACTTGCCTAGCACAGGTGAGAGACCCTAGTTCAACTCTTAGGACTAAAAAGAAAATGACGAAAATAAACTGTAAGGACCTCACAAAATAGGAGGAGGCTGTGCGGAGTCTGAGGTGCACAGGCCGAGGCTCTGGCTCATGCTGCCCCATGGGACAGGAGCACCTCAATAACTTGCCTGCCTCATGTCCCACAGTGCTCTGGGCAGACTGGCCACGTCACCTTCACTCTCTTCCTCTTCTGGTGTTTTGGGTTTCCTTTCTTCAGAACTGGTGATTGAACCAGGGCTGCACACAGGCTGCGCCAATGTTCTACTGCTGAGCCACAAGCCCAGCCCATGTATATATGCTTGATCTATAGACAACCAAGAAAATCCTAGTAAAATTATTAAACTATTTTGGCCACAAGTCAGATACTTTCATGTGTCAGAAATTTTTTTTTTTTTTTTTTTTTTTTTTTCAAAGTTTTATTGATAAACATATAGCAATGAGACAGTTTCAAATCAAATCGAAAGTACAGTTTTTTTTTTTTTTTTCTCGGAACCGGGGATTGAATTCAGGCCCTTGCACTTGCCAGGGAAGCGTTTATTCCACTGAGCCATCTCCCTGGCCCCCTGTCAGAAATAATTTAATACACCTGATCCTTTAAAAATTATGATGGCTTGCCCATAATCCCAGTGCTTGGGAGGCTGAAAATAGGAGAATTGCTATGAGTCCAATCTATGTAGTGAGACCCTATAGACCCTGTCCTAAATACATTACAAAAAAGAAGTAAAAATTATGACTGGTAGGCATGTTGGTAAATGCTTGTAATATCTCAGTACCTAGGAGGCTGAGGCAGGACGATTATTTCACATTCCAGACAAGTCTATGCTACATATTGAGAATCTGTGTCAGGAAAAAAAAAAAAAGTTTTTTTTTTTCTGTCTTTTTTTAAAAAAATTTTTGAGTCTCCATACGTTGTCCAGATTGGCTCCTGGCTTTCAATTCTGCCCCAGCCTCCTGAGAAGGGGGTACTGTAGGCACACTGCTTTGTTCTTTTTCTTTCTTTTTTTTTTTTTGTGGAACTAGGGATTGAACTGAGGCCCTTGCGCTTGCCAGGGAAGCACTTATTCTACTGAGCTATCTCCCCAGCCCCACACTGCTTTGTTTTTATTCCACCAAAGGTGAACAAGGGACACAAAATTACTGCCTTCTACTTTATGAAATTTTTTGGGTTTTTTTTTTTTAAATTTTTATTTATTTATTTATTTGTGTGTGTGTGTGTGTGTGTGTGTGTGTGTGGCCTGCTCAGCCCACCAGGGGGCGGGGCTGGCTGGCATGTGGTGCTGGAGGATTGAACCGCGGTCCCTGTGCTTTGCTAAGCTTGTTCTAAGTAGGTGCTTTAGACCACTGAGCCATCTCACCAGCCCTTTGGGTTTATTTTTATCATTTCTTTTCTTTTTCAGTGCTAAGGATTGAATTAGGGCCTCACCGGTACCAGGGAAGTGCTCTCCTACTGAGTCACACCCCACATACCTTTTCCAAAGGTATTTTCAAAATACTTATTGTCGCTGATGTGAGAAACCAAGTGTAAATAAGGCCCAAAATGTATAACAGTATTGGGCAATAGGATGAAAATGTTCAAATGGGGAGGGGAGAGGGGGAAGGAGATGGGGAAAGGGAAAGAAGAGAAAAATCAAACAGAAAAAAGGAAACAAAAGCTTTTGTGAACGGGAAGGGAAGGAGGGGCTGAAGAGAGGAATGGGAAAACAAAGAATCAAGTTATATCATGTATAGGTAGGAATTCTCTATGATGAATGTGACCATTATGCATATCTAAAATCTACCAATAAAATCTGATTGAAGAAAAAAAAAACCCAAAAAAGAAAGAAAAAAAAACCCCAAACTATATTCACTTAACAAAAGACTTGTACAAACTCCCAACACAATAGAAAATGAGAGAGGATATGAAGGGGCAGTTAAAAGAGATGATGGAAATGTAAACATAATAGAAAAACAAACAATGTAAAACTTCACTCTAGAGTGAAAGAGAAATGCCCATTATAATGACATCGGCTGCCACTTTCAGTGAGACTGAAAGATGCCTGGCCTCAGCCTGGGGTGGGGCAGGTAGGGGCTGCCGGAGCAGCAGCTGGTTAAACCTCTCCCAGATGATGCGGCAATCTGAATAAAAACGCCCTCCTCCAATCCCGAGTCTACCTTTGAAGGGTATTTGTTACCTGGAGGAGGCTGGCTGAGCACTGGCTGCAGTACGGCAGCTCACCTCAGCAGTACTGTCTTCTCTGCACCGGGGATGAACTCAGGGTCTCATACAGGCTAAGCTATGGGCCCAGAACTGTGCCAATGACAGGAGACGAAACAGCCTACGTCAGTGAGGGCTTTCAGTGAAAGCAAACAGCTGGCTGCGGTGGCACAGGGGCCATAGGTTTGCCACCGCTGTCCTAAGCGTTCATTTATAGTTAAACAAATTATGGCCTATCCCGGCAGTGCAATTCTATGTTGTTAAAGAAAGAGAATGCCCAAGGTCATTACAGTGAAGGTGTCATGTGCTGTGGTACAACATTCAAGAGGGTGAGGCAGGAGGATGGTCAGTCTGCGTTACACAGTGAGCGCAGGCCACCTTGGACTACATAGCCTGCCTCAAAAAAAAAAAAAAAAAAGACAGTAATCTAAGTACTTTTTGGGAGGCTGAGGCAGGATAGCAAGCCTGAGTCCAGTCTGGGCAACTTTGAGAGATCCCACCTCAAAAGAAAAAATAAAAAGGGCTGGGACATCACTCAGTGTGAAGGTTCAAGCCCAGCCCCCACCCCCATGTGTAGGCTACACCAGTAGTAACGTGTTAAGTGATAATGTGTACAAGTGTCAAGTGTGAAAAGCAGAATTCAAAGTTGTCTAGGACTGGCACAAAGATGAGAAAGATGAAAGTAGATTCGTAGGATAATTACAGCATCTCACCGATCTTCTCAGCAAACCTGTGAGGTAGAAATGATCACTATTCTAATTTTACAGAGTAAGAAGTAGAAGCATGGGAGGGGCAGATCATCTGCCACACACCCAGCCAACCAGGGAACCAGGATTCCCTGACACTACCAAATCTCACTAATAAATGGAACCCAGGAAGGACAGAAAAGAACAGCAAAGAACTTTAAAGACAAATGAAGAAAATATGGCAGACACACATCCACAATTTTTAAAAAATTAACACTTGAGCGGAGCTATAGCTAAGACTGTCTGATTCTTTTAGTATTAGAAAAAGCTGAAAAGTCTTCACATGACCTCAATGGGATAGTTTTACTTTGACAAATGGATGATTCTCCTATGTAGACAGAGAGGAGAGAAAAGTATTTAACAAATCTAGAGACAAAGCATAATGTGATGTCAACTTCATTCTTACCACTCTCTTTTTCGATGGTGCTGATGATTCACAGGCCTAGAACAGAAAGAGTGAAAATGATTCTTTGCAGTGTGAGCTACTTCGCAAATGTTCCTTTGCATCTGCACCTCCAGCCAAGCCCCAGCTCCCAGCAGCTGTTGCTCCTCTGTGCTGGGATCTCCAGGCCCAGAGCCAGCGGGCAGCTACTGGGGTTCGCTGGCCATCAGGGGAATGTGGAGACCGGTAGGTGAATTATCTACAGCTTTGTATTTGATTGGTTCTGGCCCTAGTATGAATTGCTAAAATCATTATGGTGGTCATCCAATATGACTGATGGATGCCCTTAAAAACAAAAGCCCACCTTCCTAGGACCACCTCCCCCTTTTTGTCCAACTTAGCCCAGGGTAAGATTAACTTCCACCCTTCCCAGCACCTCAGGGAAGAACTCCAGTCAGCTCTCTCAGGTATATCTAAACATCCCCTTCAAACCTCTCCCTTGGCAAAAGGCATAAAAGCCTCAGCCTCCCTTTGTCTAATCAAGAGGAAACGCCTCACCCTTCCTCATATTCTCTCCCCTGTCCTCAAAGAAAATAAAGCCCCTTTCCCTTTTTCCTTCTGCCTGTTTCTCTGCTGTGCTGTTCACCTGAAAACACCTATCAGTATTTATCATCATTCTCATTACTGTGGATGACTATAGAGTTGAAATAGTTATTTTATAAAATAGAAAAATGTCAAAGCTGGATGTGGTGGCACATGCCTGTAACCTCAGCACTTGGGAGGCTGACACAGGAGGACTGATGCAAGTTTGAGTCCAGCCTGTGCTACCGTGAGTTCAAGGCCAGCTTAATAGCAAGACCCTGTCTCCAAACCAATAAATGTAAGTCAAAGGTCATTAAAAAAAAAAGTCAAAGGCCATAACATCTTCTAACCTTTAGGCAGCTGCAGGAACACAAACAGTAACAACCTTCAATCACAGGTAGCTTGGGTCTAATTGTTGTGAAAAGGCTAGTAGAAATGAGTTTTTGTTGAGAAGGAAATAATAGACATTGTTAATAATTACGATCATATTAACATAGAATTTTGAGACACTAAGATTTAATAACTAAACTTGAAAAAAACAAACCCAACTAAACGTGGCATGGTGTTGCACATGGTGCAATCCTAGCGCTTTGGAGGCTGAGGTAGGAGGACTGCAAATTCAAGGCCAGTCTGGGCAATGAATTCAATGCCACTTCTGCAGAACTAACTACATAACAAAACCCTATCTAAAGCAACAAAAAGCAAAACACCCAAAATGCTTATTAAACTGGTATAAAACTGAGCAAGAGTGGGAGACTCAGTATCTGCATTTCATACCAGTTATTTATTTTATTTTTTTTTTGGTGGTACCGGGGATTGAACTCAGGAACCTGTGCTTGCCAGGGAAACACTTTTTCTACTGAGCTATCTCCCCTACCTCATATTGATTATTCTAATTCTTAATCAGTTCTGGTGGCCCATGCCTGTAAATGGGGCCCTTGGAAGGCTGAGGCAGGATGATTACAAATCTGAGCCCAGGTCGAGCCATTCTGCAATTTAGTGAGACTCTGACTAAAGACAGAAAATAAAAGGTCTGAGAATATAGCTCAGTGCAAAAGCCCTAGGTTCAATCCCCAGTAACAAAAAGAAATACTTTTCATCCTGTAATTCAGAAACTTGTCTGGGCTTTACATTAAATTTTCGTATATGAAAGATTAAAGACTGTTCTCAAATTTAACTCTTTTTGAAGGGTGGGGAGCAAGACACTGGGGATGGAACCTAGGGCTTCACACAAGTTAGCAGAGCGCTGCACCTTTGAGGTGCCCTTCAAAAAAATTCTACCCTGCGAGGGGGTCTTGTGAAGAAGGCTGAACTCAGGCTTGCTCCTATTTTTCAGTGAAGGTCAAGTGTTTTTCCCTTTTGCGTCAGCTGGCTGTCAACAAACTGTCTACTTGCATTAAAAAGCAGAATTCCAGCGTGGATCATCTCAGAGCAAGCTGGATACTAAAATGCACGCCAGACACTGAGCAGAGCCTTCTGGAGGAGGCCGGGGAGCCCACCGAGTCGCCCCAGCCCACGCACCTCCTGCTGCTCCGCGCGCTCGCGCTGCTTGCGTGCCACCTCGTGCCGCCACAGCTTGAGGCAGACGAGAGCGCTCAGGAGGTACATGGCCATGGTGAAGAACAGGAAGATCACGGCGGCCACCTGTCCGCTCTCCAGGCGGCAGAAGCCCGCGTTCAAGGGCGTGTTGAAGAGTTGGTAGTAGCACAGCCCCCCGCGGTTGGTGTCGTTCACGTAGACCACGGCCCCGGCCATGTAGAGGACGAACAGGGCCATGTTGATGCCGAACTCGGTGAGCGGCCACCAGTCCGAGTCCAGGAGGATGGTGCGGTAGTACAGGGACATGCCGAGCACCAGCAAGATGAGCGTGGTGATCCAGGCCAGGCCGGCCGCCACCAGCACAAAGGGGGTCTTGGGGCCCGTGTAGTAATAGCCTCTGCCGTAGCCATAGCCGTAGCCGTAGCCGCCATAGGCGCTGCCGGGCGGCGAGTTCCCGAACAGGTTGTACCACTCGCTGTCCTTGTGCACGTAGGCCGTGACGCAGGCGAAGACCACGGCGCCCAGCAGCAGCTGCACCACGCCCAGCAGCCGCAGCAGGCCGGCCCACGACTTCATGTAGGAGTAGCGCAGGTGGTACTCGGCCACCTGCTCGCTGTAGGTCGGCGCCGCCGTCGCCGCTGAGCCGCACTCCAGGGTGGCCCCCGGCTCGCGGACCGACCTGGACGGCGCCGGGGAGGCCGGGGGCGAGCACTCCACGCCCGGGGAGATGTAGCCCAGGCCCTGGCCCGGCGCCCCGTGTTTCCGCCGGAAGAAGTTCTTCCAGGAGTCGGGGATGAAGCGGCGCACCGGCTTGATATCTGGGGCCACCACGGGCGTGGGCGTGGGCTCGGGCTCAGACTCCGGCTCTTCCACGTCACTGCTGAAGGGCACGGCTGGGCCAAACGGCGGCTGGGCTGGGAGCGGGGGTGGAGGCAGCGGATCGGCGCTCAGAGCCAGCTGCAGCTCGCTGTCCTGAAAACTCTCGAAGGAGTCCGGGATGCTACTGGGGGTGGGCAGGTCCCTTGGGACCTCATCCGCCCGACACTGGGTTCTTCCATCCTTGCACAACATTTGTGATTTCACACTCGTGGCCAAGATGAAAGTTATCAATTATTCTTGTTTTTGGTTGAGACTTATCTTTTCGTGATGCTGATTTTATTCACTTAGTAATCAAGAAAGTCAGGAGACCAACATGATCTTAGTTATTAGGATATACAAAAATAATAAAATAAATGTATTTTCAACTGGGCCTGGAGGCTCAGACCTGTAATCCTACCACTCTAGGAGGCTGAGGCAGGAGGACTGCCGTTTGAAGCCTACTCTGGGAAACTCAGTGATTTATTATCTCAAAATAAAATCTGAAAAATGTGCTGAGGATGTAGGTCATTGTGAAGGCCTTGGGTTCAATCTTCAGCACTGCAATAAACAAAGAAATAAATGTAACAAATTACCCAGGAAAGCAGTTATTGTTCTATGCCATTTAAAGTACAATAAAAATTTTAACCATTAGCACTGAGTTTACAAAAGGGTGTATTTGGCTGAGGATGTGGACAGGCACATGCCCGCTGTCTCAGCTACTCAGGAGCCTGGCATGGCTCACCTGAGCGCAGGACCAGCCTGGGCAACAGAGCAAAATGCTGCCTTACAACTAAGTAAAAGGCATGAAAATTAAACAACACCCTCCTGAATAATCAAGGGGAAGAAATCAAGGAAGAAATTAGACAGCTCAGAGAATCAAACAATAATGCTGGCACCATAACCGGGAACGTAAAGAACACAATGAAAGCAGTCTTAAGCGGGACGTTTACAGCTGGGACCAGAATGAGCCCAAATAAATAATCTAATGATGCAGTACAAGGTCCTAGGAGAACAAGAACCACCCAAATCTAAAGCTGGTACAAGGTAGGAAATTACAAAGATCAGCACAGAAATTAATGAAAAAAAGGCTAATAAAACAACACAAAGAATCAATGAATCCAGCTGGTTCTTCTGTGAGAGTAAACACAGCGGCTGGGAGTGGTGGCAAATGTTTGTAATCCTAAAACTCAGGTGAATCAGAATCCCTTAGAGTTCAAAGGTCAGCTTGAACTACATAGTAAGACCTTGTCTTAAAAAGAGGGGGTAAACAAAATAGAAGGGAACCTCTAGGCCAATGATGGCAAACCTTTTAGAGCTTCCAAGGATATTAACAGCCCACTACAGTGCATGTGACATACATTTGCTACCAATGCCCTAGCCAGTCTCACAAAAAGAGACCCAAATCAATATAATTAGAAATGAAAAAGGTGAAATTACAACAGTCAAAACTCAGACTATTAGTAACTACTTTGAGAACCTGTATGCTAAATGGACAATTCAGAAGAAATGGACAGATTCCTAGATAATATGAACTGCCAACGTTGAGCCTAAAAGACATAAAAGCCCTAGCTAATCCAATATCAGGCCATGAAATTTAAGAATAAAAAATAAAAACACAAACACTACAAACTAGGGAAAGCCTACAGCCTGATTGGACTCATAGCTGAATTCTATAACAACTTTAGAGAAGATCTAACATCAGAATTACTCAAACCCTTTAATAAAATTAAAAGAGGAACAGTTTTGCTAAGTCATTCCTGGAAATTAGCAATCCTGATTGCAAAACCAGAAAAGGATCTTACTAAAAAAGAAATCTACAGGCCAATCTCTCTAAAGAATATAGGTGCAAAAATCCTCAATAAGATATTGGCAAACAAAATGCAGCAAATTATCGAAAAGATCAAGCAGATGCATCAAGCATCAAGTTGGGTCGATCCCAGGGATGCAGGGATGGTTCAACACAGATGAATCAATAAACATCAAAATACATCCCATAAACACAAGCAGGGACAAAAATCACATGATCATCTCAAGATGCAGAAAAAGCATTTGACAAAATCCAACATCCATTCATAATATTGATCAGAGAATTTTTTTTAATGTATTTAATACAGGGTTTACAGGGTCTACAGGGTCTATAGGGTCTCATTACACAGATCGGACTCATAATGATTCTCCTGTTTTCAGCCTCCCAAGCGCTGGGATTACAGGCATGCACCACCATGCCCAGTCTTAATCTCCAACTCAGCACGCCCTGGGGCAGGGCTGGCATGGCACAGCTGGGATCAAACCCTGGTTGCTACTCTCTATAGCCAGCAGGCACTTTAGTCTGCTGAGCTGTCTGGCCAGCCCATCCATTCATAATAAAAATCCCAAGGAAAATAGGTATAAAAGGACCCAACTTCAATCTGGTAAAAGCCATTTATGAAAAAACCAATGCCCCACATAATATTAAAATGGGAAAAGCTAAAAGCTTTTCTTTTAAAATCAGGAATACGCAAGCACAAGGGCCTGAGTTCAATCCCTGATTCCGCAAAATAAATAAATAAATAAAAATAAATAAATAAATAAATAAAATCAGGAATAGGACAAGGATGTCTCCTATCACCACTCCTGTTCAACATGGTTCTTAAAAGATTAGTTAGTGCAATAAGGCAAGAGAAATAAAAGCAATATATATATATATATGGAAGAAATTAGGTTACCATTATTTGCAGAAAATATGATGTTCTACATAGACCCCAAAAAAACTTCACCAGAAACTCCTAGAATAACCAAATTCAGTAGTATAAACAGGAGACAAAGCAAACACACAAAAATCAAGTGTTTCTCTACACCAATGAATTCACCAAGAAAGAAATTAGGGGAACAATACTTCTTACAGAATCAAGAAAAATGAAATACCTAGGAATTATAGTAACCTACGCCAGAAAGGTAAAGTGCTCTATAATGAAAACTATAGCACATTGAAAAAGATCAAAGAAGACATCAGAAAATAGAAAGATGCCCCATATTCTTATATAGGCAGAAACAATATTGTCAAAATGGCTATATTTTTTAAACAGATATATTAGTTTAACAAAATCCCAATCCAAATACCAACAGGATTCCTAACAAGACCAGAAAAAAATGAATCTAAAATTCCTATATACAATCAGAAGAGATACAACAACAAAAGCAATCCTGGGCAACAAGAACAAAGCCGGAGGCATCCCAATCCCAGACTTCAAATTACACTACAAAGCTACAATGGTAAAAACTGCATGGTTGGGTTGGAGAGAGAGCTTGGTGGTCTAAGTGCCTGCTGGCAAGTGCAAGGACCAGGGTTCGGTCCCTGGCACCACATGCTGTGCCTGCCCCAGAACCCCAGGCTTGCTATGCCGGCCACTGAAACTGGGCATAGTGGGCCCATACCTGTAATGCCAGCACTGGGGAGGCTGAGCTAGGAGGATCACTTTGAGTCTGAGCTGCATAGGGAGACCTTGTACCAAATCAATCAATCAATCAATCAATCAATCAATCAATCAATCAATCAAGATAATAATATCAACAACAAACAGCATGGTCCTGGCACAAAAGCAGGCTTGTGGGTTAATGGAACATAACACAGGAGGCAGAAGCAACCCTCAGGCACATTCAGCTACCCGATTTTTGACAAAGAGGCCAAAAATATTCCCTGGAGGAAAGATAGCCTCTCTAATAAATGTGTTGGGAAAACTGGCTTTCCATTTGCAGAAGATTGCATCTAGACCCATGTATTTCGCCATATACTAAAAGAAAATCAAAGTAGATCAAATGATAAAAACAGAAACAGATAATCTGCTGAAAGATAAAATAGGTAAATCTCACAAATACAAGAAAAAATGTTCAGTATCTTTGGTCATTAGAGAAATGCAAATTAAAACAACAGAGATCCCATCTCATTCCATCAAGAAATCAGATAATAATTGCTGACACACAGGGAGAGAAGGGAGCCATCACTGTGGTGGGAATGTAAACTGGTACAACCATTATGGAAATCAGTGTAGAGTCTCAAAAAACTAAAATAGTTTTAAGTAGAAATCCTATTCCACTCAGCTATTCCCCTCCTAGCTATCTTTCTGAAGGAGTTAAAGACATCATATTATAGTGATATGAGCATACCCATGTTTACAGTTGCACAGCTCCTAATAGCTAAAATAGTTAAAAGTGGTCTGTCAATGAAGGAATGAATAACAAAGTGTGGTATGTACCTCAGTGGAGTACTACTGTTCCATAAAGAATAAACAGGAGCCATTTATAGGAAAATGGACGTTGAGACTTATACAATTCAGTGAAATAAATCAGCACAAATATCACATGGTTTCTTTATATGAGACACAAAATATAAAGAGCAAAATGAAAGATAAAAGAAAAAAGGGAAGAGATGGAAAGAGGAGGTAGGAAGGGTAGGGAAAATGTACAGCCAGGATGGAAGGAATAAGGGTAACAAAAACAAGATGTGTTATATGCCGGACACACTGGCACACAGATCTACTCCCAGCAATTGGGTGGCTGAGGCAGAGGAGTGCTGGGTGTTGAAGGCAAGCCTGGGTTACAAAGTGAGTTTTAAGGGCAGACCCTCTTTCAAAAAACCAAAACGAAAACAACCCAAAAGGTGTGTTATGTACATGTACCAACTCCTCACGATGAATGTCTTCATTATGTACTGCAAATGTACTAACCAAAAATAAATATTTCTAAGTCTAATCTATCCATCTATACACAACAAAATATAAAAACCAAAAGGACAGACTTTACATCAAAGAACACTAACAACCTGCACATAGCACCCTTTCCTCAAACATTGTAAGTCCAAATACTTCTAAGCCTGAGAGTGGTGGGGCAGCACATATTAGCACCGTTATACACTCACGCATGCTTTGACATGTCCACAGGAAAGCAGTCTCTTAAAACAGAGCACCATTAGCCCCTTTCTTCATAACTGTTAGGTTTGAGGACTGGCTTTTTCCTCAGTCAGAAACACTACATACTTGATTTTAAAAATTGAGTTCTCACAGATAAAAATTGCTGAAGGCTAACATTCCCCACAGCCACAAAATAGCAGGAGCAATGACCACAAATGGCATTCATTCCAGGGGGATAATCTAAAGGGGATTGCCTGCCACCACGGAGAAACTAACTTATTTCAGGAGGTATTCATTCACTGAACAAGCACCAAAAAAGGACTTTTACTTTAACCAACCCTGCTAAGTTCTTCCATGAAATTGTTGATCTTACCACATATATAGGAAAAACAAACACCCAAAACCCCTCTTCTAATATAACTACCACGCTTAAGGTACAAAGAATTTCTTCCTCAAACTGCTTGTAAATATGGGGTGTGGTGGTCCAGGCCTGTAACCCCAGCAGGAGGCTAAGGCAGGATTTCTGAGTGTTTGAAGGCAGTCTGAAGTACGCGAGCTACTATCACTCTCTGGAAAACACAAAAAAAACCGAGTAACAATAAAGGAATCCAGGTGATGTGAAGGAGGCAGTTTACCCATAAAGGGTACATACTATGGTCAGTCTTCAACCCATCACCTAGAAAGTAGGGTGGAGAGGGAAGGCAAGAAAGAATTTCAGGGTCTTTAGGGGAGCACTCTCATTTTAGAGGGATTAGCTTTGACAGTCCCAGCGTGGTGCACATCAAGGGGAGGGGCTCCCTAAAGGATGGCAAGTCCCCCTGCTACCCCCTTTTTATCTGTCTACAAAAAGAATAAATCTTGGGGTTGGGGATTTAGCTCCGCAATACAATAGGAAGCCCTGGGTTTGACCCTTGGCATCAAAAAGTAAACCCCAACTATGAATAAATCTGGCCAAGGAAGATCACTGTTCAAATCCAACTTAGTGAAACTCTGTCTCTAAGGAACTGCCTGGCACAATGTGAAGATCCTGGGTTCAAGCCCCAGCACAGCACAAAAAACCCCCAAAAGTTCATACTGAAGAAATCTAGAGTCCAAATATAGCATTTAATACACATTCCTAAGAAATGTACAGGCCAAAGCACAGGTCGCTTGAGCAAATTTCCCAAGACATGAGCACCTCTGATACACTGTAGGGGAAGGTCACACCGCTGCTCAATTAACTCCCGGGAAAGTGAGATTCACCTTAACAGATCTGGCTCGTCTTCACCCACCGAGACCGCTTTTCAGTTACAATAAAATGTAAAAACTGTAAACCGAAGAACCGTGGAGGAGAAACAGGCGACTTCGGAAGGATGTCCGCCAGGGCCCGCCACGGGAGCCTCGGGCCGGCAGAGTGGGCTCAGCGCTTCCGGGCCAGGTCCGAGCTGCACGGCGGCGGGCGCTCGGACAGTCCGGGAACCGCCGGCTCCCCGCGGCCCCACTCCGCTGACCTCCGCGGTGCCCGGAACTCCGCGCGGCCGGCTGCAGTGGCGGCCACCTGCGCCCGGAAGGACGAGTGCGGCTGCACCTGGGCCGCCGCCCGCTGAGGCTTCCTGGGCAGGGGTAGGGCGGGGACGCAGGTGGCCTCCACGACAACCCACTCACCTGCGCTGCCACTGCTGAGTGCTCCCGCCTTGCGCCTCTTCCCGGGTCGGGGTCCAGAGCCAGATGGCCCCGCCCCTGCGCTCAGCCCGCCCCGTCCCGCCCCGCGGCAGAGCCGCAGGCGCCAGTCGCAGGTGCGACCCCTGCGGACCCGCTTTGTGCTGTTTTTTAGACATTTGGTCTAGTTTGTAGTTCAGGCTGGCCTTGAGCTCACTGTGAAGCCCAAAGTTGGCCCTGAAATGGCAGCAATCCTTCTAGCCTCCCCAGTGCTGGGGTTCACAGGCATACTATACCACCATCACCAACACCACGCCCATTTCCCCAGCCTTTCCAATACCCGGAAAGGAAGTGCCCATACTATATTTGAGAAACAAGGCGGACAGCGCATGGTAGGCAGTGTTGGTGTGACGGCGCACGCCTGTAACCCCAGCACTGGAGAGGCTGATGGAGGATTGCTGCAAGTTCAAGACCAGCCTGCACTATAAAGAGAGCTCAAGGCCAGCCTGAACTGCATAGTCAGACGCTATCTCAAAAACCCACCCCCCCAAAAAAAGATAAAAGACACTGAAACAAGATGAAACCTAACATTTTAATTTTGATATAAATTATTATTAGACACTTTGTTTGTTTGGAGATAAGAGCTGTGTATCCCTGGCTGGCCTGGAACTCAGTGACCCTGCTGTCTCAGCCTCCCAAGTGCTGGGATGACAGGCACACATCACCACGCCTGGCGATTACATTCTTCCAAAAAGTATTTAAAATATTATACGGTACATCATATAAAAACAGGTATCTGAGAAGATGAGACAAACTAAGGCACAAGGTTTATTTACATTCATATTTACAATATTCTACCACTTTTGTATTCCAGGGTCTTCCTTCACATTTTCTGATGCATGGCATAAACACTTAACAGCTAACCCAGACCCAAGACTAAATAAATACTAGATAAAGAATTTAGTGTCCATGGAGACCTGATCTTCCATGTACTCCAGGGAGGCAGGAGAGCTTGTGCTGAAATACAAGAGGAACTAACAACAACTTGTAATCCACCGGAGAACAGGAAAGGTTCAAATCCCACTTAAACTCCTAGGAGGGCAGCCTCCTATGTCGCGTCACTGTCATATTCTTCTATGATCATGTCGTCATCCTCCTCCTCCTCCTCCATGTCTAGCTGCGAGGTTAAAGGTTGCGGCTGGCTGGCTGGGAGCTCGCTCCCACTGCTCTGACTCAGGGGCCGTTCCCCACACACATCAGCGAGCCCGGCAGGCAGTGGTCCAGGAGGCAGGGCCTCGTCTCCGCTCTCAGGGTCCAGGGGCGCCAGCTCCCTGTCAGCCAGGGCTTCCATCTTCCACCTGTCAGTCACAGGGCAGACCTCAGTCATGATCAAAGCCGGTAACTGGGTCAGGCAGTGTCAGGAGCCAGGCACAGTGGAATCCCAGCACTCTGACAGGCAAGCCTGGAAGGATCCAAGTTTGAATCCTGCCTGGCCAACCAGTCAAGTTAGCAACTTGGCAAGACCCTATCTCAATAAAAAGAGGGTAGAGATCCACCTTGTGCAAAGGGCCTGAGTTCACACCCTAGGAAGGGGCAGTGGTGGAGGGACAGCATGATTCTGGTTTGGGCTTTCATTTGTAACAAGATAAAAAAACTTAGAAAATATAAATATAAATGCCACTAAAATTGTTTAATTTATAAAGTAGAAATGAAAATACAGTAATGAACTACTGTCATCTTCTAAACTGGTAAAGATACTTTTTTTTTTTTTTTTTTTTGAGACAGGGTCTTACTATGTAGTTTAGGCTGGCTTTGAGCTATGCAGCTGCCTCAGTCTCCTGAGTGCTAGGATTACAGATGTGCACTACCACAACTGGCAAGAGGCTTTGAAAAGTGATCAAACCTAGCTAAGGCAAGAGAAGAAAAAAATGATACAGATACAATGTATCCTTCCTTTTTTTTTTTTTTTGCATAACTGGATATTGAACTCAGGCCCTTGAACCTGCCAGGCAAGTAGTTATTCTACTGAGCGATCTCTGCTGCCCCCCAAATTTATTTATTTATTTATTTTTTTTTTTGTGGAAGTGGGGATTGAACTTAGGCCCTTATGCCTGCCAGGAAGCGCTTATTCTACTGAGCCACCTCTCCAGCTCCTGGCACAGTGTAAGTAGGTATGAAATTACATACTATTCTTATAACCATTCTGGCACACAGAACAAAAGCCTCACAAAGGAATATACCTGTGTGGCACTTTCTAGTGCATTTTTCTGATTATTTCTTATATATGTTGGTTTATTTACAAGGTAATGATAAGCTGAAAAGAAGCTAAATACACAAAAATAAGGTAGAGGTTGACTTACAACAATAATGCAGCTATTAAAGATTAAGATAATTATTTTTTCTGTATTTAGGACAGGATCTACAAGGTCTCACTACAGTAGACTGGACTCAGTGATTCTCCTGTTTTCAGCCTCCCAAGTGCTGGGATTACAGGTGTGCATACCACGCCCAGTCTCAATTGTTGTGGGCGGGGCTGGCACGGCAATGCCAGGGATTGAACCCCAAGGGCTGCAATCTGCCTAAGCAAGTGCTTTAGTCCACTGAGCTATCGGGCTGGCCACTAGATTAAGTTAAATGTTAATACTAATTATTATTAGCATAAAACAAAGACTGAGTTAAAGATCAATATAAAGGTAACAGTACTAATCATGCAATATAACACTGATAAATCCTACTCATCAGATCAAGTAGTTAAACCAATAAATCCAAGATTCCCACTCTTTATACACACACACACACTTAATTTCTTTTTTTTCTTTCTTTTTTTTTTTTGGCAGAAACAGGGATTGAACTCAGGTCCTGTGCTTGCCAGGTAAGCGCTTATTTTACTGAGCTGTCTCCTCGGCCTGTAACACAAACACACACAGTTCAATAAGATGATTTAGCTGAGCATGGTGGCACATGCCTGTAATCCCAGGACTTGGGAGGCTGAGGCAGGATGACTGCTGGGAGTGAGGCCAGCCTGATCTACAAATTGAGTTCAAGGCCAGCCTGAACCATATACCAAGACCCTGTCTCAAAAAATAAATAAATAAGTAAGATTATTTATTTGAAGGTGGGGAAAAGGAGAAACGAGAGATGACAGCTGTGGTAGGGAACATTCAAAAGTGAATATCCTGTCCCTACACATATTAGGAATGAAAAAACAACAGAAAATATTTAGCCTCCTTGTACTTTCACATAATCTCTGGGTGGGAAGATGCCAGCAGAGACCTTTTCCTGCTTTGACTCAAAGGGATTTGAGGGGCCGGGGAGATAGCTCAGTTGAATAAGCGCTTGCCTGGCAAGTACAAGAACCTGAGTTCAATCCCTGGTTCTGCAAAAAAAAAAAAAAAAAATTCTCCAGAAGACTCAAAGGGATTTGCGGGGGAGAGCAAAGTGCTTAGGTCTGAGGTCCAAGTACACTGGTGGGATGATGCCTTGGGTCCCTCACTGTCCCGGAGTAACAGCGAAGATGCTCACCATAGCTAAGCTGTTACCCACACTAAGCCATCAGTGCCACCCAGGCCTTACAAATTCAAGTACAAAGGAGAAAAAGGCCAGACAGGGAGAGCCTTCCATCTGGGACCAGGAGGAGACAAGCGAGGAGGTGTAATAGGTATCACTGTGATCACTTACTTTTGTTCTTGCAAGCAGTATGCAATTCTTTTTTTTTTTTTTTTAATTTTTTAATTTTTATATTTTAAGGAAGGGCCTACAGGGTGTTTAGGGTCTAATTACTAGATCGGACTCAGTGATCTGCTTGTTTTCAGCCTCCCAAGTGCTGGGATCATAGGCGCTCGCCACCACGCCCAGTCTCAATTGCTCTCAGCATGCTCTGGGGAGCAGGGCAGCAGGGCAGGCCCATGGATTGAATCCTGGCCCTGCGCCTCCTTGCAGGTGCTTTAATCCGCTGAGCTATTTGGCTGGCCCTTGCAACTCCTTTTGAAAATTAAAAAAAAAAAAAAAAAAAACAAAAAAAAAACTTGAGTAATTAATTCCAATCTAATACATCAAACTCAAATAAATATTCTCAAAGCCAAGTAGGCTTTGTGTAAATCACTGGGGTTTGCACAGAGGCTACCTTCTAATAAAATGAAAAGTAGAGAAGAGATACTGTATATCTATCTTTAGCTTTTTTTTTTTTTAAAGACAGGGTCTCACACTAAAGTCCAGGCTGGCCTCAATCTCGTGCCATCCTCTTGCCTCAGCCTTCTGAGTGCTGGGGTTACAAGGGTGCCCACCAAACACTGTTTTTTGAGGCAGTTTCTGGTCACTGTAGGTATTCAATCATACACTAGGAAGACCTCTTGGCAGGGAAGCTTGTACATCAGCAATATTCCTTGAACTCGACACTTTATTTTAAAAGGCACTTGGGCTTTTGGATTCCATGCTTCCATTCAGTCTGCCATATTCCATTGGGAGGCGAATCTGTACTTTTATATTTAACAGAGACCTACAATGTAATTGCATGGTTTTGGATCCCTGGGTACAATACATATGTTTCTTTTTTTTTTTTTTTTTTTGGTACTGGGAATCAAACTCAGGACAGGCAGGTTTGTCAGGCAGGCTCTATGCCACTGAGCTATCTCCCTGGCCCCAAATGTTTCTGTAATTTTTTTCCCCTTCATTTTCTTTTTTTGCAGTTCCAGGATCTGAACTTGGGACCTCATGCTTGCCAGGAAGGTGGTACACTGCTGAGCCATATCCCCGGCCCCAGATAACATTTCTTGATCATATATTGAGTGTACTGAGTGGATTCAGTAGACATTTCAATAACAGTGCTCTGCAAATTAAGATGATGAGCTTACCTTCCAAAGTGTTGTTTCAGAGGAAGTCTTCCAATGTCTTGGATAAAAGAAATCTGAGCTGAAAACAAGACATTTTTAAAAAGATTTTAATGCCATTATTCTTTCTTTGGTGTTGGTAGTACTGAAGCTTGAACCCAGGAGCCATCTGTTAGAGCTGTATTCTGAGCCCTTTTCAGTTTTAATTTGGAGACAGGATCTCTATAAATTAAACAGGCTGGGCTCAGGATATTCATTCATTCATCTGGCCTCAATTCATTCATTTATTTGTACTGGGGATTGAACTCAGGGCTGTTGCACTGAGCTGTGTCCTAGCCCTTTATTTTTCTTTTGTCATAGAGCCTTGCCCAGGCTGGGCTCAAACTTGTGATTCTCCTGCTTTAGTCTTCCAGAATGCTTGGATTACAGACATGTGTCACCATGCTGTTTTTTTTTTGAGACAGGGTCTTGCTATATAATCAGGCCTGCCTCCAGCTTGCTACATAGGCAAGGCTGGCCTTAGTCTCTCTAGAGCTGGGATTACAGGTGTGTATCACTATGCCTACCTTCTTTTATATTTTAACTGATAAACTATACATGTTTATGGTATATAACACGATATGCTCATATATGTACCCACTGTTGAATGGCTAAATCAAACTATCTGAAATATGTACTATCTCAAATATTTTTTGGTTTGAACACTTAAAATTTTATTTTTTTATTTATTGTACTAGGAATTGAACTCAGGACCTTGTGCTTAAATCAACTTTTGGCAATCTTCAAATATGTTATTAACTTTTTTTCTGTCATGTTTTGTAGCACTGGGCATGGGAACTCAGGTCTTCACAATGTACTACATTCTTAACCCTTTTTATTTTGAAACAGGGTCTTGCTAAATTGCTAAAATGCCTAGGGTAGACTTGAATTTACAACCCTTCTGCTTCAGTCTCCACAGTGCTGGGATTACAGGCCTGCATCAACATGCCTGACTACATTTTTTAAAAAATTTCTTTTGTTTTTTTGAGACAGGATCTTGTAGTTCAGGCTGGCCTCGAACTTGTAGCAATCCTCCTGACTCACTCTCCTGAGTGCTGGGATTACAAAAATGCACTGCCACGCCCAGCCAGAGGAAAATTTTTAAATCTTTTAGCCTCAAGCTTTTTTTGTTTTCTTTTGGCAGTGCTGGGGATAGAATGCAGGGCCTTGTGGATGCTAAGCATTCTTCTACTACTGAGCCACACCCCAACCATATAAGCCATTTTGAAATTTACAAATAGATCAGTGCAAAGGCTCTTAGATCCACTATACAATATATATATATATTTTTAAAGCTCTTTGATATGTAAAGCTTAGAGAAGGAATCTTAAAAGAATGTGATCCCCCCCCCCATGGGAACTGAGCCTAAGGTCTTATACACGTTAGGCAAGTGCCCAATCCTCACAATCTGTACTGACTACATAAACTGATTCTCCAGATGAGTACCATGTAAACAACTTAAGTCAGTATTTCTCAAACGCACACCAATCACCAGGAGTACTTTATTATAATGCAGACTTATTTGGTAGCGGGGGTTGAGAGTCTGCCTTTCCCCCAAGCTCCAGGTGGCACTGTCCACCTTGGTGTAGAAGACCCCCTGGCTTAGGAACCTGACCCTGAGTCCCACAGCAGGACTCAATGAGAGGGACAGTATCCAGTGGCACTGTGGGATTATGGTTGGCTAAAATGGAACACTGTCAAAAAAAACCCTGAGCAAATAAGTATACTCAGGAAAATGAAACAAATGATTTTTATTAGCCAAAAGGGGAGGGACAGGCCCAGAGGCATTGCTCAGTACTAGCACAAGGCCCTTGGGCTCTATCTTTGGAACAGGGAAACAAACAAACAAAAAAAAGCACAAATATGAAAAGAAAAAAGGCTAGAATAAACTGTGGTATTTGAATCGAACATACTGGTATGAGCTGTTTTGTTTCTATTTTCAAGATGGTCACACTATGCAGCCTCCAACTTACGGTAACCCTCCTGCCTCAGCTTCCTAAGTACTGGGATCACAGGCCTGAAAAGATCACAGGCCCGACATACCACTCCTGGTAATGACCTCATGTGTTATATAGAGCCATATTGTAGTTCTTAGCTTTGTTTCACTGAAAAAACCTAGCAACAACACTCTGACAGCAATGACCACATCTAGTGCCCAGATCCTACTTCCTAAATGCCATTCCCACTGTGAGAATCCAGCACTCCCAAAAATTCCAGGCCTCAGAACTTGCACAACAGTAGGACCATAGAATAAACTAGAAACTCTTTGTTTTAGAAAGTAAGAAATTATTCCACGAGTAATGGGGGCACATTAAATGGGACAGAGTTAGCTTAAAGTGATACTTGCTGGGTAATTTGGACAACTTCACATCAAAATAAATAATGTTAACAAGGAATTACAATTGAAAACCTAAGAATCCAATATCCATATAAACATATGCAAACAATCAAATGAATAAACACACGAGGGGTTGGGTGTGGTGGTGCATGACTATAATCCAAGCACTCCAAAGGCTGAGGCAGGAGGACTGCTCTGATTCAAGGCCAGAGTGGGCTTCCTAGTGAGTTCAAGGTCAGTCTGAACTATATGGTGAGATCCTATCTCAAGAAAAAAAAAAAAAAAAAAAAAAAAAAAGTCTTAAAAGTTCTGACATGTAATACTAGGTTAAAAAAACCCGTATCCCATACTTTTCTACTATAAATTTGTACTTTAGTATAGTAACAGCTGGCTGTGGGGCTCAGAAGTTGTACATGGGGGACACAGGAAGCAATCTTCATGTCTGTCCACTTGGATAACATATGGTAAGGTGTGTGCACCAGTGCAGAAATATCAAACCAGGATCCTTTACCCAATTCATGTTCCATCTAAAAGGTTTTGCACGTTTACCTGAACATCATGGGGTAACATACACCCACGCCATTCTCCTATGTAAATATATACTTTGCCATAATGGAATATGGGTTTTTTATTTTTCTGCTATAAATAGCCCAATTCGGTACAGTGGCACATAAAGAAACAGATTTTTAAGTTTTGGAGGTCAAAAGTGAATCATCAGATTATTCATGCATGGATGATGAAGATAATAATGACTTCAATGTTGGCCATGTGAGTCAAAGTTCCTGTGATGGTGAAATGAGGCAGAAAGTGACTGATACAGACACAGGGAATGCAGACTTCCTTGATCCAGATGTGAAGAAAACAACAATGTGAGCATATATTTGACTAACAGAAATGGTACAAAATGGTCATACTAGCAAATGGAAGGATTCAATGTTAGAAGTAGGTCTGAAAATATAGTGAGGAACTTGGCTGGGGTGAAACCTATTGGACTTAATGCCAGCACTGCTATTCAGTGTTGGAAATGGCTTGTAACAGATGAAATGCAACAAGATGCTGTGAAACACACAAATGCTGAATACAAGTAAAACATTTTTTATGCATTAAGAGCCATACTGCAAAGATGTATTTATTCTGACAGCGCAGTTGCTGAACTGAAAACATTTATAGGTCTGCTCTACTTAGCAGGTCTTTCTCATGGTTATCGTAGGAATATAAAAGACTTACAGAAAAGCAGTGAGTGTGGGCTTGAGGATTTGTAGTATAATGATGACACTGAGGAGATTTGGTTTCCTTCAAATTTGCCTGAGGTTTGATGACAAAATCATCCACCATGAAAGAAAAAGAATTGATAATCTTGCAGCTATCTGTTAATGGTTTGAGAGATTTCTGTATAATTGTCAAGCAATTTACATACCATCTGACTACATGACTACTGATAAGCACCTTGCAGCATTTTATAGATGCTGTAGCTTTGGAAAGTCTATTTCCCCAAAACCTTCAAAACATGGCATAAAAATTTATGGTGTTAAAAAAAAAGGGGGGGGGGTGGCAGGGGAGATAGCTCAGTGGAATACGTGCTTCCCTGGCAAGCACAAGGGCCTGAGTTCAATCCCTGTTTTTGAAAAAAAAAAAAAAAAAAAAAAATTATGGTGTTGTAGATGGAGACTTAATTATGCTTTCTTTTTTAAATGTATTTTGTACAGGGTCTATAGGGTCTCACTAAACAGATCACACTTGTAGTGATTCTCCTGTCTTCAGCCTCCCAAGCAATGAGATTATAGCTGGACCCAGTCTCAATCACCCAGCTCAGCATGTCCCAGGAATTATGCTTCCAATTTAGAAATTTATCCTGGAGCTCAGCCACTAGGTCCTTACTCACAGCAATAAACCAAATGATTTTATTAACAGACTTGTTCCCATTCTCCCAACCTAATCAGAACGTGACATTTGACAACTGGCTTGCCAGTTTCTAATTTTATATTTGTTAACAAAGCAGAAACTAATCCAACTAGGAACTTTACCAGAAACAAGGCAGAAATTCCAAATGAAATGTTATAATTTCAAAACAGTACAGTACAATCTTTGGATGTTAGAAAGATAGTAACATTGGCCTTCATATGGCAAAGAAAAACAAACGTACTCCTGATGTCAGCATTGCACCATGATGGAATTATTGATAAGGAAACCTCAACCAACTGAAAACTGAGATGAAAACTTTCTACAACAAAACCAAAAGTGGAGTAGATGTTGTTGAGTTATGCAACAACTATGTCACTAAAAACACAAAGCACTGGCCAATGGTGTATTTTATCTTAAAAATGTTTAGTATAAATAGTTTGGCAGTTGACAAAGAAAATAACAAGTGCAAAGATACGGAGAATTTTTCTTAGAATACTGGGATGAAGCTCAGAAGAGATAGTTTACAGGAGGGAAAAAACAAAATGTTTCTGCTAAGCGAACTATACAAAAAAGTGACAACAGGAAAACAAAAAAGATACCAACTATGTGCTACAGGAAGGGTTAGGAAAGAAAACATATGTGCTATCAGCATAAGTGATATTTGTTGCAGTTGTCGTATGTGAAGTCATATGCCTTGGGTGTTATAGTTGAAGTAGATTATTTCTGTGGTAGACTTTTGTTTGTATTTACACTGTAGTCTACATAGGTTATTTCTATTGTTATCTTTTAGGTTTTGTAAGCAAGTAACCAGCTGATATGAAATGTCTAATCTAAGTACTCATTACATATTGGTATTTTACTGATACCTTATTTCCCTACGTGCACACTGTACAATATAATAGGAAGCTCCTGACAAAACAGGAAAACAAGAGAGGTGACAAGAGTGGCCTGCAACATAGGAAAGGAAAACTAAGCACATGTGCTGTTATACACGTGTAAGTGGATGTGTACAAGGAACATGATGTGTGAGGACTGCTTTGGGTGTAACAACTGAAGCAAAGATTATTATTATTATTTTTTTTTAGAATTATTTATTTATTTATTTATTTATTCATTCATTCATTCATTTTTTGTGTGTGGCCAGCTCAGCCCACCAGGGGGCGGGGCTGGCTGGCATGTGGTGCTGGGGGATTGAACCGCGGTCCCTGGGTTTTGCTTAGCTTAGCTTGTTCTAAGCAGGTGCTTTAGACCACTGAGCCATCTCACCAGCCCCGCAAAGATTATTTTTGTTGTAGCATTTTACTGGTACTTTCACTGAAGTTCATATAGGAATTTACTTCTTTTTTTTTTTCAAATTTTATTTATTTTTTAATTTTTATTTGTTTATTTGTGTGTGTGCATGTGTGGCCAGCTCATCCCACGAGGGGGTGGGGCTGGCTGGCATGTGGTGCTGAGGGATTGAACCGCGGTCCCTGTGCTTTGCTAAGCTTGTTCTAAGTAGGTGCTTTAGACCACTGAGCCATCTCACCAGCCAAAAGATGGTGTTTAAAAAAAAAACAAAACTGTATTTGCCAATCATTAAGAGATTCAAGTCATCAGTGGAAGCTGTAACAGGTAAAATTTAAATGAGAAACAGGATCTTTACAGTCTCAAAGTATCTCCCCACAAAATAGCTACAACTTTACTCTGGAAAACCTGACAGATATTCTCTTACCAAATGGTGAAAGTTAACTTCACCAAGCATGGTGCTAAGAAGCATCACACACTCCTGATATGCACTAAAAAAAAAAAAGAGTAATTTCTGTGGTATTCCTGGCAAATCACCAAAATCCACTTGAGAGGAATCACCACACTGGGCATGGTGGTACATGCTTGTACCCCAGCATTCTGGGAGGCAGGCAGGAGACTGAAAATTCAAGCATAGCCTAGCAATTTAACAAGACAGTGTCTCAAAATTAAAAAAAATAAAAACAGGGCTGGAAATGTAACTCAATGCAAAGAAGCTGGGTTCAGTCCCCAGTTTTACAAAAGGAAAAAAGAAAGGGAATCACCAAATTAAGGGACAATGTATGTGGTGCCTCTCTAATCTGCCACTGCTTCCAAAATAGCATGGGTGGAAAAAAGATTAAGGAACTATTCCAGATCAAAAGAGACTAAAGAGGGGGCCGGGGAGATGGCTCAGTGGAATAAGCGCTTCCCTGGCAAGCACAAGGACCTGAGTTCAATCACCAGTTCTGCCAAAAAAAAAAAAGCTGATAAAGAATAAATAATAATAAAAAAAAATTAAAAAAAAAGAATAAATAATAAAGAAATTGAAGACTCCATAAAGGAGGAGGACCTAATAAATCCTGACTCGTTAGTAGCCAGCCCTAAAAGGAATGCTATGTGGAACATATGGTGTATGGGTTTCGAGACGGTTATATATCACCAGTTTGGTTAAATTTGTCAAGGAGGTGAAAGAGTCCACTTTTGCAGTCTGTTATTAATTACTGTGAAGGATCTTTGTGACACTGAAATGCAGATAATTTCTCGGATTAAGAGCAGACATTTGCCCCCATTGTAATATGAGACCATAATTGTCATCAACAAAACCATGTTTTTCTTACATTGAAATGGAATAATAAAGTATGGCAATTAAATATTTTGACCAAAAAAAAAGAAAAAAAACCAAAAGAGACTAAAGAGGCACGGCAACTAAATGACTAAATGCATACTGCAATCGTGCAGTAGATTCTGGACAAAAACAGGAAAAAGAGTAAGTTCTTATGGTAGAAGAGATATTAAACAACAGACAAAACTTGAGAGAGGTCCCTAAGCACTGTATCAAGATGAATTTCCAGGGAAGCGCTTATTATACTGAGCCATCTCCCCAGCCAAGATGAATTTCCTCATTTGGATTTGCCACTGGGGCTCATTAAGGGAAGGTCCTGGTGTTCACAAAGTATCTAGACATTATATTTGCAACCAATTCAGACATGGCTTGGATAAAATACAAGTGTTTGCTTGAATATATCAAGAAAGAAAAGATCATGTATGAGTCAAATATAATAAATATTTAACACTAAGAAATACTGGGGAATAGGTACATGTGTAATACAATTATTTTGTACTTTTATTGCATTTTTAAATGCAAGAGTATTTCAAAATAATAAAGTTTAAAAAACTAGAATAATTTTAATTTCTGGATGAAACGTACGCTGATCACACCTACTGCTCAAAGTTATCCCATTTTTACCTATGAATACATAATATTTAAAATGGTGGGGCCAGGGAGATGGCTCAGTAGGTTAAGTGCTTCCCTGGCAAGCACAAGGACCCAAGTTCAATCCCTGGTTCCGCCAAAAAATAAAAAAATAAAAAATAAAATGGTGCCAGGCATGGTGGTGAATACCTATAATCCCAGCACATGGGAGGCTGAGGCAAGAGGACTGCTGCAGGTTCAAGGTTAAGTATCAAGCCAGCCATGGTTACACATACCTCTAATCCCAGAATACAACAAAGATGAAGCAGAAGGACTGCAAGTTTAAGCCTAGCCTGGGTAATTTAGTAACTTCATGAGACGCTGTCTCAAAATAAAAAAGAATGGGAATATGGCTAAGTTCAAATGCTCTGATTCAAACAAAACAACAGCTAAAACCCAAAGCATCAGCCAGGAATATAGCTCAATGGCCTAAGTGCCTGCCTGGCAAGTGCAAGGGCCTGAGTTCAATTCCTACTTCCACCAAAAAATAAAATAAAATTATAAGATTTGATAAAATGTTATTTGAACACATTCCAGTATTTCTGTCTTGACACTGATTTTGCAATATGAAAGGCTAGCCATGTGGAAGTGACAGAAACAAACAAAAGCTTGTGTCATCAGCCTGTATGTATGTGCACAGAAGAAATCTGGCAACAATTCACCTCAGCTGTCAAAAGATGACTTGCCACTGAAGGGGAGGTCCTTTAATTCTACTTTATATACTTCTGTATCATTTATCAATAAGGTGTATTAATTTTGGATAAAAAATAAAGTGGAAAACATGATCTCATTAGTGTACAGTCATGAGTTGACTCATAAAAAGACTGATATAAAACACTACTTTTTGGGAAGGGGAAACCTGGGATTACCTTGATTTCTCATTGGGATGGTTAGGAGCGCAAGATACGGCAATAGCTGAGTCTGGAGACACAAAGCTGGTAGGCAGAAGCCAGAAAAAAGTGCTTTTGCTGCCAGGCAATTTTCCCGAAACTGCACAAAAAAGAAAAAAGATATAAGGCAAATAAAACAAAACTAAAATTATGTAGTCCAAATTAAACTGAGTGTATTACATACAAAACCTGTGGGTTTACATTCCACAAACATACTTGTAAGATAAGTTGTCCATCATTTTTCTAGGATCGATCAATGATTTCATATTATATCAGCAGCAGTCCCACAGATCTCGTGTTTAACACCCCTCTTGATTTGATTAAGAGATTACATTAGGTGATTGACCTGTATAATCTAAACTTGTGTAAGAATATCCTATGAGCTGGGTATGGTGACACAGGCATGCAAATCAAGTACTTGAGGGGCTGAGGCAGAAGGATCTTGAATTTGAAGCCAACCTGAGCTATACAATGTGAGACCAACCCTATCTTCAGAAAAAAATAAAGAATACTCCATGATGTTTACAAAACCATAAGCCATCTACCACTGTAGTTCTCAGAACATGCCTTGTGTCATGTATCTTTCATTAAGGTCTGTATATTGTATTAAGTAATATGGTCCATGTAGTAAGATAGGTTTCAAATTTATTCTTCCTACCTGCAATTTGTATCCTAGAGCTTTTTTTTGGGGGGGCCAGCTCAGCTTGCCCTGGGGTTGGGGCTGGCGTGGCATGTGGTACCAGGGATCTAACCAAAGTTCCTGCGCTTGCCTAAACTTGCCTAAGCAGGCACTTCAGACTGCTGACCTATCTCGCCATCCCCTCCAGATCTTTTTAAAAAACAACTTTTGGGGGCTAGGTAGATAGCTCAGCAGACTAAAGTGCCTGCTTAGGCAGAGTGCAATGGCCTGGGTTCGATCCCTGGCATGTTGTGCCAGCCCTGCCCCTGGGGCACGTTCCGATGGTGACTGAGACGGGGCATGGTGGCACATGCATGCCTGTAGTCCCAGTACTTGTGAGGTTTAAAACAGGAGAATCACTACGAGTCCAATCTATGTAGTAAGACCCTGTAGACCTTGTGCGAAATACATAAAAAATAAAGTTAAAAAAAAATTTTTTTTTTTTTGGAGACAGTCTTGCTGCCTAGTACAGGTTGATCTTGAACTCATTATGTAGCCCAGGCTGGTCTTGAGGTAATCCTCCTGCCTTAGGACTCCCAAGTATTTGAGGCTGGGGAGATGGCTCAGTAGAATAAGTTCTTGCCTGGCAAGCCAAGGACCTGAGTTCAATTCCCGGTTCCACACACACAAAAAAGACTCCTAAGTACTGAGATTATAGGTGTGTGCCACCATGTCTGGCTAGAGTATGTTTTGTTTGTTTTTTTTGCGGAACCAGGGATTGAACTCAGGTCCTTGAGGTTGCCAGGCAAGTGCTTATTCCACTGAGCTATCTCCCCAGTTCCACCTGGCTAGAGTATGAATGTATGTATATATTTTGGTTTAACATAGTTCAGTCTGGCCTTGAACTCATAGTGATCCTCTGGCCTCAGCCTCCTAAGTGCTAGAATTACAGACAAGCACCACCACACCCAGCCAGACCATATTTTTAACTGAAACTAAAATTTAAACTAATTATGCTTTGATTCTAAGAAAAATTAACTAATAAATGAAACAGATATGTACACTTAAATTCTGAAGTTTTTTTTTTTTTTTTCTTTCTGTATTTAGGACAGGGTCTCACTATGTAGATCAGACTCACTCAGTCTCAATTGCTGTCTCAGTGTGCCCCAGGGAGTGGGGCCGGCATAGCAGCAACCTTTAAAAAGTGACTAGACCTTTAGGAAAATCATCCTTTTCATGTTTTATCATAATTCTAAGAAAACTGTAGCCTTTAGCGACTATTTTATTCTTTTTACTTTTTTTTTTTTTTATGTACTTGGTACAGGGTTTTACTACACAGCTCAGACTCAGTGAACCTCCTGTTTTCAGTCTTCCCAGTGCTGGGATTACAGGCCTGCACCACCACGCCTGGACTTGGTGGCCGGCTCAGGGAGCCCGGAGGTGAACTGGCATGGCCTGTGGTGCTGGGGATTGAACCACAGTCCTTGCTTGCCATAGCAAGTACTTAGTCTGCTGAGCTATCGTACCAGCCCCCCTCCCCCACCTTTAGCAAATATTTTAATAACAGTAAAACAGGGCTGGAGAAATGGTTCAGTAGAATAAGTGCTTCCCTGGCAAGTGCAAGGGCCTCAGTTCAATCCCTGGTTCCGCCAAAAAATAAATAAAATAACAAAACATTTTTCTTGTTTAAAGTTAACCTTTGCCTTATCAAAACAGAATTCATAGAGTCCACCTATGCAAAGCCTGCAGTTCCCTTTTTACCTTCTTATGTATTAGAAACCACTGTGGTTTGTGCAATGGTCGGAAGCTTGATCCCCCTGCTTGGCAGTGAGCGAACCCCCGGGCTCTGTTGGAATGGATCACACCTCGAGTAGCAACAGATGTGCTATATTCCCTGAGTGAAGAGCGTGTCTAATGAGCAAGAAGAGGCAGAATGAAGAAAGTAAGGTTTATAAACAGTGTTATTGGTACTGCTGACATACAAAAAGACTAACTACACCTAGTTGTTCTATATTCATATTTTCCATTGTCACCATCGTCCTAAAAAGGCAAATCAAACTGAGACACAGCAAATGTAACAGGTGAACACTCACCAGGTCACAGATAGAGCTTGGAGAAACAGTTTTCAATATATTTTTGAGGTAATTAGGGAAAGCTGAGTAGGGACAACACATCTCTAAATTATTATGAACCTTCCTGGGTGTGATAATGCTATGATGGTTGTAACAGAAAAATATCTTCATGTATGCTTTAGTATTAAGAATCATGCCATTTTCCAAAAACAAACATGTAAATACATAGAGATTAAACAAACCTGGCGAAATAATTCAGTGAACACAAGCACACATAGATTTTTAATGAATTACTCTTTCTTTTTTTTTTTTTTTTTCCGGAACCAGGGATTGAACTCAGGCTCTTGCACTTGCGAGGTAAGCACTTATTCTACTGAGCCATCTCTCTGGCACCCATTCTTTCAATTTATCTACAGATTAAAATTTTTGAAATAAAAAGATAAAATGCAATCACATGAAGATAAAAGATACAAAAGTTAATACGGTGATGAATATACCCATTACCTTGAGATCATCAATTACCCAGTGTAGAATGAAAACATCACACTGTTGTACATCTCATAAATATGTATAAATACTACACAGCAATCAAAAGAAAACACAATTTTTTTGGTACTGGAGAATGAACAGAAGGCCTTTGCACTGAGCTACAACCCCAGCCCTTTTCGTTTTATGTGTTGAGACAGGCTGGCCTTGAAGTGGCAATTTTTCTGCCTCAGCCTCCCAAGTAGCTGAAATTATAGGTATATGCTACAACACCTGAGAAAAAATTAAAAAAAAATTACAGAAAAAAAATTAGGTAAAAAAACTACTGAGCAATAACACTATAATAGTTTTCCAAACGTTACCTTCCTAATTTTTAATTATTAATGCTATTTCAATACTTATATTTGTGATACAGATAGCAACATACTAAAAATATCTAACAGAACTTCCTATAATGATAGAAATTATTTATAGGGCTGGGGAGATGGCTCAGTGGTCTAAAGCACCTACTTGGAACAAGCTCAGCAAAGCACAGGGACCACGGTTCAATTCCCCAGCACCACATGCCAGCCAGCCCCGCCCCCTGGTGGGCTGAGCTGGCCCCACACATGCACACACACACACACACACACACACACTAAATAAATAAATGTAAAAAAAAAATTAAAAAAAAAAAAAAAAAAGAAATTATGGGCTGGAGAGATGGCTCAGTGGTCTAAAGCACCTACTTAAAAAAACAAGCTCGGCAAGGCATCAGGGACCGCGGTTCAATCCCCCAGCACCACATGCCAGCCAGCCGCGCCCCCTGGTGGGCTGAGCTGGCCACACACACACACACCACTCCCTCTCCCTCTCTCTCTCTCTCTCTCTCTCTCTCTCTCTCTCTCTCTCTAAAAGAAAAAGAAATTATTTATAGCTGGATTGTTCAATACAGCATTCACTAGCTAAATACAGTTCTCAGGTACTACAAATATGTGACTGGTGTGACTGAGAAGCTGAGCTTTTAAATTTAAATGGCCATAGGTAGTTATGGTAGTATGAAAGACAATGACAGACACTGGCTGGGGTGGCATACCACTGCAGGCCTTGCTCTGTGGGAGCCCAGGAGTAAGCCTGGGCAACAAAAGTGAAACTCAGTCTCAAAAGTACTGGTGCATGCTAAGTATGTGCTTCACAGCTGAACTATAGCCCTAGTCTACACAAACTAAAAATAAACGAACAAATGACTTTAATGCAGCACAAAGTACAGATATATCTATATCTATATATAGTTCCTAACGTACAGTTACATAGTTCTTAACCTTCTAATTTATTTTCAAGTTTAAAATTTTTCTATGCATTTATTAATTTTAAAATTAAACAAGAACTAAAAATTTAGTGATACATTGTCAGAAGAAAACCCAAGTAATCTACTGAAGCTTCTCTACAAATTCTGGCTTGGATGTTAGAGCAGAGTAACTAAGAATAGTGACAAAATAATGTCCAAGAATTAGACATAAAAGCAAATTTTCTTAACTCTGAAAAAGTACTTAAGTAAAAGGGTCTTACAGTCCAGTCACCACTGAGGATATCTGCAAAACTGAGAAGTTCACTGGCTCTCACAAGATCATCTACTTCCATGAAGAAATCTACGTAGTTTTGGTGAAGATATAAATTAAATAACTCTCCTGGCATGTGTGACATTTCTACTACTTCCTAGAAGAAGAAGCATAAATATATAAACAATTAGGTCCAAATACTGTAGTCAAGTACACACATACTATGTATAGTGCAGTATAATATACTATACATGGCAAAGAGTCATAGAGATCTTACCTCAGGCTGAACAAGTAATGTATCTCGTTCATGCTCTGATAAATGGGAAGGCAACTGAGGACAGTCTAATTCTGTTAAAGGTGTCCCTATAAAAAATTTCTAGAATTATTAAAGATAATATCATATTTGTAATTACATGGCACTTTTCATCTGAACACTTTCAATACTTCAAACACAAAATGCCAAGATACTACCCTGTAAATTAAAAACAAAACAACAAAATTACTAGATGCTTACTTGTTTTATTACTACTAGAATTCAACTTGACTCCGAAGCTTGAACTGTGGCTTTTTTCAGACCCAACACATTCCATTTCCTAGAGCACAGTCCATTTCCCCTCCTGGCTAGTGTTCCTTTTTTTTTCTGATTCATCTCAATACAGAATTCACTGTCCAATTTCCTAAGAAGGAAGATGCTGGTCCCCACTTGGGAGAGCAGGAACTCCATTCTCTAATGCAAGAGCTTATGAGAGAATCAGGAGATTCTGAACCTTGGGGTTCAGAAGACAGGATCTGGGAAGAGGGGAGCTCACCACTAAGAGACGGCCATTTCATTTTCCTATTGTGGAAGGAAATTCCAAATTTTTCTGTCAGGATTATAAGACTATCAATTGAAACATGCTAGATAAGGAACTGCAGGCTTGGGGTTTTACTGACAAAAGGGAGAATTTGGGAGGTTAGGAATGGACACTGGGTGAAAGGATGCAGGGAAGGGCAGGCACCAGAAAAGACAAAGAGCAATGAACACCTACGGAGGTGGGGCGGCAACTGGTGAAGAATACAGAAAAATTGAAGAGAGGCAAAGGAAGCCATAAGGACCTGACACTTTACATACGACCTCCGGGCTGGAGCCTAGAGGTAACAGAAATTCAGATTGTTTCTTGTTGCTAAATCTAGAGATGGATATCTAACCGTCTGTATAATTTTAATAATTTACTGGAATAGGTATGGTCCATGTAATGTTGTTACATTTAATATTGCTCAATAGTTAGAATATTCTAAAAAAAAAAAAAAGAATATTCTAATAACTAAATACATTTTCCTGCTGTCCTGGGTCTTGCCCAATAGTATATAATCTAACTGTCACTGTTTTTCTTAACAAAATACGGAGTCTGCCAAAAGAATGTATACATTAGAAAAAGCAAACCTTGTATAGAATATTGGTGGACCAAAAGACAGGTGAGGAGAAGCCTGAGAAGACAAAGAAAACTGGTGTGCCCCCAGAGTAATGGAGGGGAAAGCTACAGTCACAGCACTGAGAACTGATCAGCTGAAGAAGCTGCAGCCCTCCCAACAAAGCCTACAAAGATCTCCAAGTCTGGATTTGCCACGGGTAGTCAGATCAGCTCTTTCCATCAAACTTGGATCAAACAAGTCTAAAGACACTGTTCCAACTCTTGCTCCTAAAACCCTTTAAATAGCAGCAGATTTAATGAAGATGAAGACAGTGAACCAGAGGAAATGCCCCCAGAAGCAAAGATGAGGATGAAGAATACTGGAAGGGATACACCAACATCAGCCAGACCAAACTCTTTCAATAAAGGAAAGCATGGTTTTTTTGATGACCAGAAGCTATGGGAACAAAATATAAAATTTTGTCTTGGAAATGTCCATGTCCAAGACAACTAAATGATGTGTTTTGAATTAGGGTAGGAGGTGGGTATAAAATTAAAAGACAGTTTCGTTTTTTTCTTTTTAAATGTATTTAGTACAGGGCCTACAGGGTCTTACTACACAAATCAGACTCATAGGGGCTCTCCTGTTTTCAGCCTCCCAAGCATTGGGATTACAGGCACACACCATCACATCCAGTCTCAATCGCTTTCTAGCACACCCTGGGGGCAGGACTGGGCCAGCATGGCATGCTGGACAGAACTCTAGTCCCTGCATCTGCCTAAGCAGGGGCTTTAATCCACTGAGCTATCTGGCCAGGCCTGAAACAGTTTCCTTTTTTATTATTTATGTTTTTATTTTTTTGGCGGAACCGGGGACTGAACTCGGGCCATTTCCCCAGCCTCCAGTTTCCTTTTTTAAAGAGTGGTATAAGACTCTTTGCAGCACTTTTTCTTTTTCTTTAAGACTGAATGGTGCATTAATAAGCGAGAGTTTGAAATTAGAGGTAATTTATGTTTTATATACAGAATTCAAGACATTTGCTAATTTTGTAATTTCATATAGTTTCCAAAGGTTACAGATAATAAAAGAAATCAGAAATGGTACCTTTTTAAGAATTGCAGGTTGTATATGGTGAGATTTTTGGACTTACGTGTAAAAATAAGAAGTATATAAATTCTTTATGCCTATTTTAAAAATATTTTCTAATTTTTAAATGTTTTTTTATCATATTCTGTAGGGACTTAAAGTTCAACATATCAATACTTGATGAAAAATACCTGTTCCATATTATGCCTAAGATGTTCGATATGCAGACAGATAGTGAGGTTAAGCTTAACAGACTCAGTTGTATGGTAGTAACAATAAGCTTGTCTTCTGGATGGTTAACAACCTAAGTTTGCAGACCAAAATTAGATGAAAAGGAGGGCTGCAAGGAAAGCCAACATTTTGGCCCTAGCCTTCCAAGGTCAATTAGGACTCAGGACATATGAGAATTGCACTATAACGTCATGTAACTCGGCAGTGTCCCAAATTTTCTGATCAAGGAGATTATGGGGCCAAAGAGGAAAGTGATTGATGATGTAGAGTGTGCCTAAGGAGAGTCACATGGAGAAAAAACATTCTCTCAGGCTTTCTCAGAGAGTACATTGGCCAAGCAATGGCCGTGACTCATCCACATGGCTGATACTCACAAAGGTTCTACAATCTGAGGTACAGGATCTCAGGATAAATCCTGAGGGGATTTCACTGACCTTATCAGACCCAATAGCTAAAACTCTTGTTGCATAGGTCCGGCTTTATCTTGGTCTTAACCATCCAGCAGAAATGTATAAAAACGAAATATAAGAAGTAAAGCCATGCTGTTATGTTGAGCTGTAGGGGACTCAGGTCAACAATTTCTGACATTGCCAGTCAAGCAGAAGACCCAATACTATTATGGGCTACTGGACTCTTTTAGAATATTTTGCTGAATTAACACACCGATAATATTCAAATAACGGAACTTAACAAAAAAAGGGGATACAGATGAATGTCCATTTTGTATCTGTGTATTCAAAGTGGTTGGTATAGATATATAGTTACATTCTCTTAATGAATAGAGTGATTTATTCTAATGGTGTTTGTAGAGAGGATATCATGTCCGCATCTTGTACAGCAATTAACCACTGGGAGGAATGTATGCAATGTGTTAATTATTGAAACTGTCCTACCAATTTTGATTTGAAACTGTCTCATTGCTATTTGTTTCTCAATAAAATTATGGAGAAAAAAGTGGCAAAAAAAAAAAGAACCGCATATTTTTTAGACACAACTATTAGCACATTAAGAGAGAGGCAGGGCTGGTGAGATGGCTCAGTGGTCTGGAGCACCTACTTAGAACAAGCTTAGCAAAGCACAGGGACCGCGGTTCAATCCCCCAGCACCACATGCCAGCCAGCCCCGCCCCCTGGTGGGCTGAGCTGGCCACACACACACACACACACACACACACACACACACAAATAAATAAATAAATAAAAGAGAGAGAGGCAAAAAGTTAACTGCCTACTTAAAACTGCAAGCAGTTACTCTTAATTAACCCTCTTGATCCTGAAACTGTCTGGTTTCCAGGAACAGCCTTAGAGAAAAGGGGATGGTGTCGTATCAGAGAGAAAGTGTTGCTGTGCTACTGGTTGGAAGCCTAGATGAAATTAAACAGTATTTTCTCCCTCTGGGATTTGTTTGGTTTCAAGTCACCATATATTAAGTACTATACTGCTGTCAGTGGAAACAGATGCTTATCTCTTCTACAGAAAGTAATTTTTAAAAATTTTTATGTGACTCATCAAGTATTTGAAATGGCCCATTTCACCTTAATAGTCTTGTCTACCTTCATCAGTTTGCAAAGAACAGCCATTTGCTACCAAAGTAAATAAGAATTTTGAATGTGCTTCTTGGTTTTTGTTTATGAGCTAGTTCCTGTAAGCATTTCCACCAGAACTTGAGGCAAATCATAAAGAAGCTATTTCTTTTATTTTTTTTCTCTTTTTTTATTTTTTATTTTTAATTTATTTTTAATTTGTGTGTGTGTGTGTGTGTGTGTGTGTGTGTGTGTGTGTGTGTCTGTGTGGCCAGCTCAGCCCACCAGGGGGCAGGCTGGCTGGCATGTGGTGCTGGGGGATTGAACCGTGGTCCCTGTAGCTTTGCTAAGCTTGTTCTAAGTAGGTGCTTTAGACCACTGAGCCATCTCACCAGCCCCCTATCTTTTAAAATAAAGACCACCACCAAAAATTTAAAAGTACATACTGCTTAGGTATTTGGCTGGTTTTTTTTTTAGGTATAAATATCAAAAACAAAACAATTAAATGATGGAACTTAACAAAATAGATACAGATGAATGTCCATTTTGTATCTGTGTATTCAAGGTGGTTAGGACAGATATATAGTTATATTCTCTTAATGAATAGAGGGATTTGTTCTAATGGTGTTTGTAAATGGGATATCAAGTCTGCATCTTGTACAGCAATTAACCACTAGGAAGAATGTATGCAATGTGTTAATTATTGAAATTGTCCTACGAATTTGGTTTGAAACTATTTGTTTCTCAATTAAATTATGGGAAAAAAAACCAAAACCGTACAAAGATGGAAAAGAGTAAGATGCATTTTCTGTAACTTTGTCTATGCACTTATGTTACTAAGTTGTTAAATCCAATTTGAATTGAATGCATTACAGAATTTCTTTTCTTTTCTTTTTTTTTTTTTTTGCAGAACCGGGGATTGAACTCAGATCCTTACGCTTGCCAGACAAGCGCTTATTCTACTGAGCCATCTCCCCGGCCCCCAGAATTTCTTACTGAAAGTTAATATGGTTTAACTGTACACATATTGACCAGTGGCCTCTCAAAAGTATATTATAGGTACTGAAAATGAAAGAGAGGGCCAGGGATATAGCTCAGTAGAATAAGCACTTGCCTGACGAGCGCAAGGTCCTGAGTTCAATCTCCACAAACAAACAAAAACAAACACAAACACACACACAAACACACACAAAAGAGAATGCATCTCAAGCACATTTTATAGAATTGCGCATTACACAAACTCTCAAATCTATGTATTGTAAGCTGTTTGTTTTGTATTTTTGTGTTGTATGTGGACTTTCTAGGCATGTACTGTACCACTGAGCTACTTCCCCAGACCAGTATATAGACAAATTTCTAATGTAACAGTTAAACACATCTTTAAAAGCATAGTCACAGGGCGGGGGAGACAGCTCAGTGGCTTAAGCACCTGGCTGGCAAGCACACAGTCCTGAGTTTGATACCCAGTACCAAAAATAAAATAAAAAATAAAAGAATAGTCACAGACAAAAGAAAAACAATATAATTACTTCCTTCAGAACTCCTACAATGTTAAATTTGGAGGCAGCTTCAGACTATTTTATTGGTGGTAGTTACTTGCTGATCCTTTCTAATACATAGTGACTCCAGAGAAGAAACCTATGCATATGCCTAATAAGTTGTTCTTTTCTATTAAAGTTTAGAGTAAGCCCCACGTAAAACAATGAAAATGTATACAGAACTGCTAGTTCTTATGTGATTTAATTATATCAAGATATGTGAATTTAACTTTACTTTTATGTAGGCAAACTTACTCATTTTTATCCATTTTACTATTTGTTAAAATAACATCCCTCTCTATGGGGCTGGTGAGATGGCTCAGTGGTCTAAAGCACCTACTTAGAACAAGCTAAGCTAAGCAAAGCACAGGGACCACAGCTCAATCCCCCAGCACCACATGCCAGCCAGCCCCGCCCCCTGGTGGGCTGAGCTGGCCACACACACACACACAAAAATAAATAAATAAATAAACAACAACAACAAAATAACATCCCTCTCTTACATACCCTTTTCTTGACCTAAATGAAATACTAATGTAAGATCAAGATGAGGAGAAATGACTGAGATGAATGCCCTTACTAAAATAACTAATTTTGTCAAACTAAAAAAACAAAACAAAAAAAACTTCTAAAAATATTTTAACACTAAACAAGTTACCTTTGGCCTCTACAATTACTAGAGGTGCTCAAAGTGGTGGTCAGCAGCTTCCAGACATATATTGGTACAGGGAACTGCTGAGGTGTGTACATTTTTTGGTAGACTCTGAATGCAGCATTTTAGCTGTTTTTTTAAAAATTAATTTTTATTTATTATTTTTTGGTACAGGGAATCAAACTTCGGACCTCATGCTTGCCAGGCAGGCACTGGGCTAGTGAGCTAAACCCCAGCCCCTTTTTCATTTGATTTTATTGGTTCGTTTTAGATATATTTAATGATAATGATCACATTCATCATAGAGAATTTGTACCTGTACATGATACAACTTGGTTTTTTTCACTCACTCCTCTACCCTCCCTTCAACCACTCCTCCTGGCCCAATTTTCATATTTACAAAGCTTTGTTTCCATTTTTTCCTTTTTTCTTTTTCCCTTCTTTCTTCTCCCCCTCCCCTTTCCCATTTAGACATTTTCTTCTTGTTTTATAATACTCATTATACACATTTTTGGTTTCTCACACCAGAGAAACAATGTGGTGAATACAATATTTTAAAAATGTGAGATTTATTTCTATTGTAGGACTAATATCAACAGATATCAAAAAATTATAAAGATTCTCTTACTTTTACAATATAGAATTTTCCCCAAAGCTCTGAAGAGAAAGAGAGAAACGTCTTTGCCACCAACAGCTTGGTACTCTTGATTTTCGAAAACCTTATCAGGTTTTTTTCTCCGCTTTGATTTTGACAGTGCAGCATCTGATTTTAAGGACATTCCTTTTTTCTTCGGCCATAAGCTGCTCTCTCCTAAATACACCCAAGAGACAATGTTTAAAATAAAAACAAAATATAAAAATGAAAACTAAGAGAATTCCAAATAGTTACACTAAATACACTAATTACAATATACTCTCCCAACCAACAATAAATAAATTACCACATAGTCCCTTGGGCAAAAGCAAAACAACCAAAAACAAAAAACAATCACATGCATTTTTCATACAATCTACTGCACTTTCTCATACAAAATGATACACTAGTAAGTCATATCACCTTGTTATGTACAAGCTACTATTCTGAGCCCATGAGACATATTAACCAATTTAACCCTCATCACAATTCTAGGAGGGCGGAGTAATTACAACAGTGAAAGAATTGAGATACAAAGAATTTAAGTAACTGGCCCAAGGCTACCAACAAATAAGCCATTTTAATTACCTAGGCAGTCTGGTCTGGCAATCTATGCTTAACAACTATTACATTATCTTTAGACTGATTTCAGCAATTTCCAGCTTAGACCTATGTTCAAATTCCATTTGTAAGTTTTCTGTTTAAAACTCAGAATGTGTGACTTAAAAGTGGTCTTGAATGGCAGAAAAATATAGGATCTGGATCCTCGCTAGATCTGAATCATACTATCTCATTAGGATGATGAGCGAATTAAATGAAAAATTTAATTGCTATTCCTGACTTACTCAAAAATATTTTTCTCCCTTTATAATTTCTGAGCACAGAGCACAATGTTACAGTCATAATTAGAATCCTAACTTGGCACATTGCCAGGCATTATGGGACAAGTCTATAATCCCAGCACTCAGGAGGCTGAGACAAGAGGATTGTCACAAGTTCAAGGCCAGCCTGGGCTAAATATACAGTGAGTCCAAGGCCAGCCTGGACTACACACTGAGACTTTCCCTCAGAAAGAGAAAAACAAGAAGAAAAACACCAACCCAGCTCACTTTAGCCTTTCAAATCATAATTCCTGTACTGAACTTTAAAAAAAGTTGCATTTGTACTTCACAAGAGTAAGCTGGATTCTGGCTTTAATTGTGTTAAGATACCTATCACTCTATGGATATTATGGAAAAGAAAGACACAAACTAAAGGAACAGTATATACTGTGAGCAAGAACATGAGGATAGATGGCTTGTCTTTAAGACGTGTTCCTCAAGCATTCCAGTCAGTAGCTGGCTCAATGCTTACCAATAAGGACTGCACAGTTGGTGATGGCTCTTAAGAGTAAAGATGTTAACTCACTATGAATAGAGGAACAATCTATTCTTCTTATACCATGGTGATTTACCCTCTTTACATATTATTGGGGCAATATATTTGTAAAACATAAAACTATGAAAAAGTTCACCAGCAAACACACCTCAGCACAGTATCATTACCTTAATGGCTAGTTGCTTTTTGAACCCTTAGCTCAAACACTGTCAAGCACTATAGTTAGTGTTCCATAAGTATTACTTGTTTCTTACACAACCCTATGAAAAAAGGTTCTCACAGAAAAGGTGAGGAAAAAAAGAGGCACAAAAAGATAGTCCCTCACACTGACCTATCTAAATGGATGTCCCTGGTAAATCTGATCGCAAAGGACTTGGAAAGGTAAGGCAGCAAGCCATGCCAATGAATCAAGTGTTGTTTCAAACAGATACAAGGGTATAAATGATGACGTATTGATAGAAATTTGTATATTCAGGTGCATATATGTGATTTTAAGCCACTGTCTCAGTAAGAAAGTGTGCATCTGTTCAGTAGTCCCTCTATGTGCACTGGGGGTATATTCTAAGATCCCCAATGGATACGGATGCCTAAAACCGCAGAGAAAAGTCAAACCACATACACATATAATTAAAATATCTATCTTATACACATCCACATATACAGACCTAATATTGTTTCAATCTTAACGAAGCACACTGTGGCCATATGCAACTTCTTAGTTTGGGATGTGATAGCAAAATTAGCACAAAATTTTTCCTTCTTTATTATTATTATTATTTTGCAGAACTGGGGACTGAACTCAGGCCCTTGCACTTGCCAGGGAAGTGCTTATTCTACTGAGTCATCTCCCCGGCTCTCCCTTCTTCATTATTTCATGGATGGTAGATTCATTCTTACCACAGATCTTAGCAACCTCTGCCTATGACTGTTTTTCTTTCTCCTGTCTCTTTTTCACTTAAAGGAGGCACTTTATGCTTTCCTTTTGGCATATTCAAACTGCCAGTGACACAAATGTTGCACTTTGAAGCTACTATCAAGTAAAATAAGTTACTTAAACATAAGCACTGGGATCCCATGACCATGGATCTGATAAGCAAGATGGCCTCCAGGGGGCAGACAGGGTCTATGGGGTATACAATGAGATATGCTGGGATAGCAATGATTCACATCCTGGGTTGGACAGTGAAAGATCTCATCACACTGCTCAACAGTGCAGCATTTAAAACCTATAAATTATTTATTTCCAGAATGTTCCATTACTGTTTTCAGACCACAGATGACCATAGATGGGGGTGGTATCAATTACAAGTTAAAATGTCTTTTGTGGACTAGGAATGTAGCTTATGACAGGACACTTACTTAGCATGCACAAGACCCTGGGCACCATCATGAGCATCACACACATATACACACACACACACACACACACAAACACATGGTTTGGTTTGGCTTCATGAATAATGAAAGACATCAGCCATCTCTAGAATGCTCTGAATTCTGCTTCTACAGTACCTTTTGAAGAAGAAAACTGGAGCGTGTTTATTGCACTTCTGATATCACCAGAACATCCTTGACAGAGCAACTCTAGAGAAGTTTTATCAGGGATAAAAATTTTTCCTCCATTCTGAAATGAAAAAATTAAATTAAAAAAAAATTACTTTCATAAAAAAACCAAACAAATGGGCTGGTGAGATGGCTCAGTGGTCTAAAGCACCTACTTAAAACAAGCTAAGCAAAGCACAGGGACCGCGGTTCAATCCCCAGCACCACATGCCAGCCAGCCCCACCCCCTGGTGGGCTGAGCTGGCCCCCCCCACATAAATATTAAAAATAAATAAAGAAAAATAATTAAAAAAAAAAAAAACCAAACAAACATAAAATCCATTTTCTAAACTTAATGGTGGGAAAATAGATTATTTACAGTTTGAAAGCATTCAAAGCCAAATCAAACCATGCTAGACACCAGCCTGCCTAGACGGTATATTTATGTCTGCATAATTTAAAATAAAATTCCAGTAATATTAAATATTGTGCTATTACTTTACTTTTTTGTTTGATTTTGGTATTTTTATTGCAGGATCTACAGGGTCTCACTACAGATCAGACTCGCGGTGATTCTCGTTTTCAGCCTCACAAACACTGGGGATTACAGATGCACGACGCCATGCCTAGTTTCAATCACTGTCTCAGTGAGCCCTGGGGGCAGGGTTCGCACAGCTTATTATTTTACTTTGACCAAGGAATATTTCTGTCACTCCCCACCTCCCCAACTATGAGGAACTGACCCCAAGGCCTTCGCACTGAACTACAGTAGCAGCCCATTTTTACTTTATTTTGAGAATTTTTTTTTTGCGGAACCGGGGATTGAACTCATGCCCTTGCGCTTGCCAGGGAAGCACTTATTTCACTGAGTCATCTCCCCAGCCCGAGAAATGTTCTTGCTACATCACTAAATTGCCCAGGGATGGGCTTGAACTTGCAACCCTCCTGCCTCAGTCTCCCAAATGTGGGATCACACATGTGCACCATCATGCATGGCATTGGATTAATTCACTTTTATTATTACTACATTTAATAATAATTTTTTAAGAAACTGTTTTTGAGGGCTATAGCACTCAGTGGTAGGATATATGCTTTAGTAGGCATGAGGCCCGGGGTTCAATCCCCACTCCCAGCATCAAAAACAAAATCCTTAATAAGACACTGTTTTCAATTTGCTTGTTTTGTTCTTTCTTTTTGAGACAGGGTTTCACTATGCATTTTGGCTTGGTCTAGAACTCACTCTGTAAACCAGGCTGTCCTGGAACACATGGCAATCCTCCAGCCTCCTGGTTGCTGGAATTACAAGTGTATGCCACCACACCTGGCAAGAAGCATATTTTTTAAAAAAATAATTCTAGCCAGGGATATAGCTCAGCAACGTAAGAGCCTGCCTGGAAAGCACAAAGTCCAGAGTTTGATCCCCAGTACTGCCAAAAGAAAAAAAAAAACAGTAACAACAGCAAAAATGGATTACTTGGCAAAGTGAAAATGTAATTTGAAATAATCCTTGGAGGCGGAAGAACACAGAAAGAATGCTGATTATGAACATGCAAATGTTGCTGAAATGTGTGTTCAGCCATTCCTCCATACCTGCACATACTATCAACACTGACTTAGGATATCAACTCTCTTTATGATTTTTCAACCTACCAGTATTACTAATTAGAAGTTTTTTTTTCTTTTCCATTTTTTGGTATTGGGGATTGAACTCACAGTGCTGTACTACTGAGCCACATTAGCCCTTTTTATTTTGAGACGGGGTCTTGCTAAATTGACCAGGGAATATTTTTGTTACTTTTCTCCCCCACTATGAGGAACTGGCTCCAAACTTGCAATCCCCTGCCTCAGCCCCTTGAGTATATAAAAATATAGTTGTGTATAACTCCCTCTTCTTTTCTTGGGTGGGGCTAAAGGTGATGATGCTGCGATTGCACCCAGATCCTTATGCTTGCTTAGACAAGTGCTCTACCACTGAGCTCCATCCTTAGCCCCACATAACAAAACCTTTTAAAGTAAATGCTATTTGCAATTAATGACCTAGGATTAAAACAAGTTGTTTTTTTTTTTTTCAATCTGCTGCAGGATGAATACTAGGAACTAAACCCAGGACCTCTGCACTGAGCTGCATCCTCAGTCTTTTTTTATTTTTATTTTTTTTTTGGCGGAACCGGGATTGAATTTAGGTCCTTGCACTTGCTAGGCAAGTGCTTATTCTACTGAGCCATCTCCCGGCCCCCTTGAAACAGTATCTTAAGTTTCGTATTTCCCAGGCTGGGCTCAAACTTTCAGTCTTCCTGCCCCAGCCTCCCAGAGTGCTGGGACTATAGATACAATGCTTTTATTTTATTTTTTTTTAAATCTTTTTTATTTTATTTATTTATTTATTTGTGTGTGTGTGTGTGTGGCCAGCTCAGCCCACCTGGAGGCGGGGTTGGCTGGCATGTGGTGCTGGGGGATTGAACCGCGGTCCCTGCGCTTTGCTGAGCTTGTTCTAAGTAGGTGCTTTAGACCACTGAGCCATCTCACCAGCCCGATACAATGCTTTTAAAATACAAGTTTTGAGTTAAACGTAATAAAGTAGTATGTTGACTACTGTTCTTGGTTACTCTGTAATATTGAATAAATATTTATTTATTTTTGTATTTTAGGGAAAGGTCTACAGGGTGTTCAGGATCTCATTACTAGATCTGACTTGTAGTGCTTCTACTGTTTACAGCCTTCCAAGTGCTAGGATTACAGGCACACGCCACCACACCCAGTCTCAATCACCATCTCAGTGTATCACATGGGCAGGGCCAGCACAGCATACCAGGGATCAAACCCCAGCGCTGCACTCTGCCTAAATAGGCACTTTAGTCTGCTGAGCTATCAGGCCAGCCCTTAGAAAATATTTTTTTGATGATACGTATTATTTAGAACAGTAAGCCAAGGAAAGAGAAAATTTACCTCAATGTGAAAGTTAAGTCTAATAGTAGAAAGAAGTTAAATAACTTTAATCAGTTATTTCCTCTATTTGATAAAATGACATGCCTTATGAGTTTTGCTTGTGAGTTTAAAAACATTTTTTTACTCTAAAAACATATGTCTCCAGCTCCTCCAGTACACATACTATATAACTATAAGGTAAAAGTTAAATTAATCAGACTTACTTTATTAGCTTCCATAGTCACTATCCGGTTAAGAAACTTCATCATAATTGTTGGTGCCACAGGATTGAAACTGTGAAATTGTACAGAGATGTTAAGTAAATAATTAATTTAACAGGGGCGGGGGGGGGGGGGGGCTCGGGGGAGAACACCTTCCCTGGCAAGCACAAGGGCCTGAGTTCAATCCCCCCCCAAAAAAAAAAAAAAAAAAAAACAAACCCAATAATAATTTAACAGTATTGCCACACATACGAATATTCCAAGCAGGCGATTCTTACCTGATGTTTGAGATAGAACACTCTTCTTGAATTTCTTTAGGAAACAGTAACCTATGATTATTATCTCCATTGACACTATCAGAAATTATAAATATAAGAGGACATCGGCCAATCTGCACATACTTCCTAAAACAAGAAAATATACAATGTTGAAACATAAGCTACTTGCCATTTCATGTGCAATTTTACTTACTGGATCAAGGATCCACACCAGGCTGAGCACTGCAGTTATTGGGCAGCAAGCCCAACCCCTAATGTGGAGTTGAGAGTACCGTGCTTCACTCATACCCACCTTAAAACTTCATGTAAAGTGTGAGAATCACGGTAAAACTGGTTAGGTAAGTCCTATTAAAAAAATATAGGACAAATATTAGTTGTATTCCTTTGCATATTTTTCTTCAGATTTATTTCTATTAAAACAAATAATTTATCCAACGTATTTTAAGAGACATATGAAATAGTTGATAGCTTAAATAGTAGCACACATGGGGCCAGGGAGATAGCTCAGTGGCATAAACGCCTATGTGGTAAGCACACAGTCTCAAGTTCAATCCCCAGTACCAAATAAATAAACAGTAGCACACATGCATGGAAACAAGTTTTAAGATTAAATTTCTTGGGGTCGCTTTACTAGTTGTATATTAACTGAGAAGTAATTTTTCAAATACTTCCTTTGCTTTTCTGTACTTAAGATGTTAAGTTCTAAACTGTTAACCTATACCTGCATTAAGCTTACTGAAAAAGACATTTCTGCTGACAAAGCATTTGTGTTTGCTATCACAAGCCACCCAACCAGAGCTAGTTCACGTTAATACACGAGGTATGTTGCACAACTCTTCACTCAACAGCCACAGCACAGTTTAAAAATTTGTCCTAGGGCTGGTCAAACAGCTCAGCAGATTAAAGCACCTGCAAGCAGGCACAGGAGCTGAGGGTTTGATCCCTGGGTCCTGCTGAGCTGGCCCCGACCCTGGGGTACGCTGAGATGGCAGTTGAGACTGGGCATGGTGGCGTACGTCTGTAATCCCAGCTCTTGGGAGGCTGTAAACAGGCAGATCACTACAAGTCTGATCTAGTAGTGAGACCCTGAATACCCTGTAGACTCTTTCCTAAAATACAAAAAATAAATAAAAATAACAATTTGCCCTTACTTCAACCAGAATTATCTTCTTATCAGTTCTCAGATCATCTCCAAGCATTTGTAGTTTGTTATACTTTGTTGCTCTTAGTAGAAATTCTTTGAACACTACTATCTGTGACTGATAAGGAAATGTGTGGAAACTTGATTCTGAAAGCAAACACATTTACCAATTTTCAACAAATTATATATACACATTAATATTATATACCTGTATATGTACATATGTATACAGAACACTTACATGTACATGATGCCAACACAATTGCATTTTATAATGTAACAGTCTTTAATATTGTAAAATTGATAAAATCTAAAGTTCAGTCAGACATGGTGGTGCATGTTTATAATTTCAGCACTCAGGAAGCTATGGTGTGATCAAAATGAGTTTGAGGATAGTCTGGTTTATCTAGTGAGTTTAAAGGGCGTCTTCACAGCATAGGCAAGACCCTCTCTCAAAACAACCACCACTAGAACACCCAAAACCCAACCCCCCCAAAAAAAAACCTACATTCACTTCAAAAGACAACAATGAACATGAACAACAATAATTTTCCTATACCAATGAATCTAACAGTTAACTGATACAATTAGCAAATAAAATTTAATAATAAAATAGAATGACAGTCAACCTAGCCAGAGTTCACTGAAGACAAAATTAAAACTGCCAGAAGTAATGTCACCATTTAGGAAGCAGTCAAAATTAGGACACAGGATACTAGCAGCATAAGGACGTGCATGCCAAAGCCAGGGTATACACACCGCATATTAAAGAGGAGCCCAGAGGAGAGGTTTTATACATACTACATATTAAAACTGTTCTGCACAATTCTTCTCACTTGCAATTGGTTTACATTATGCTTCCCCTTTTTTAGCTACCTACAGTGTAAGAAAACCAGGAAAGATAAAAATTATAGCACCAGATTTGGAAATGGTGGCATACACTTGGTAATTCCATCACTAAGGAGGCTCAGGCAGGAGGATTTTGAGTTCAAGCCTAGCCTGGACTACATAGTAGGACTTCATATATATATAAAAAAAAATGATTTGGGGCCTAGGGAGATAGCTAAGTAGAATAAACGCCTGCCTGGCAAGTGCAGGGTCCTGAGTTCAACTGTTGGTACTGAAAAAAAAAATTTTTTTTGTAAAGTTTTTTTTTTTTTTTTGCAGAACCGGGGAAGGTACTTGTGCTTGCCAGGGAAGCGCTTGTTCCACTGAGCCATCTCCCCAGCCCCCGTAAAGTATTTTTGAAAAACCATTGTAAAAAATTACTATGATTATTTTTCGATGTTTGTCTTAAGGTCCCCTTGCAAGTTCCAAAGGCAGTCATCTTGGCTCTATGTTTTGATCTGATTTGATTCTAATATGTATTAGCAATCAAAACTGTTTTGTATGTTTATTTTTTTTTGGTGGAACTGGGGACTGAACTCAGGCCCTTCTACTTGCCAGGGAAACGCTTATTCCACTCAGCCATCTCCCTGGCCCCTTTTGTTTTTCATGCAGGGTCTCATGTAGTTTAGAAGCTGGCCTCAAACTCACAATGCTTCCCCTGCCATAGCCTCCCAAGTGCTACGACTACAGGCATATATCACCATGCCTTCTAAACTACCTTTTTGTTCACTTAACACATCTTTTTTTTCCCTCTTTTCTTTAAGCAGTATTTTTTTTTTTTTTTTTTTTTTTTTTTTTAGGGAAGGGTCTACAGGGTATTCAGAGTCTTACTACTAGATCAGACTCATAGTGATCTGCCTGTTTACAGCCTCCCAAGAGCTGGGATTACAGGCACGTGCCGCTATGCCCAGTCTCAATTGCTGTCTCTGTGTACCCCGGGGACAGGGCTTGGCAGGGCAGCCTGGGAACCAAATCCCTGCCCCTGCCCCTGCTTGCAGGTGCTTTAATCCGCTGAGCTATTTGGCTGGCCCTCCTTTAACAGTCTTAAGACCTGATTCACATTTAAACAAATAAGATCTCACGTGGTATAAACTCCAGAAATAATGAAACATATGCAACTGCTCTCTAACAACAGTTATAATTTAATCCTGAAGGAACCCTGTTTTCCTCTGCTCTAGGCAGTTCTTTGTCCTTCTAAAATCACTGCTCTTAGAAACTGGCCAGTCTGGGAGAGAAATGGACTGCTCCAGTCTCATCTGAATGCTGCATTAGGCACAAGTTTTTCTTGTTATCTCCACTATCTTCACAACAAACCTTACCAAAATTAAATATCTCCTTGAAATCATCTTTTTGGAAGTCAGGTAAAACAGGATTAATCCACTCTTGTACTTCTATACCATGTTCCTTTGATAGTATTTTTATAGTAGTAGTCTTTCCACATCCAGGAGGCCCTGTTATTAACAAAATAGATCCACCCTAAAAACAAATACAAACAAACGCCAAAATGAACACTGAGTAGTTTAGTGGTAGAAAACCTGCCTAACATGTACAAATTCTGGGGTTTGATCCCCAGCACCACAAAGAAAAGTTAAACAAAACAAAACAAAAAAAGTCACTGGAATGCTACAATATTATTTTTGAACTTTCTAAACTTGCTCCTTTTCCAAATGTTGAATGTCTAGTATAAGCAGACTAAGTTTCACAATTATATGAGCTTCAGATAAAATGAGAAAATCCTTTCAGAATAATACACCCCTCTTCTGTAATTTCTCAATTCTGCTGTCTTTCTTTTTTGGCAGAACTGGGGACTGAACTCAGGCTCTTGCACTTGCCAGGTAAGCACTTTTTCTACTGAGCCATCTCCCTGGCCCCATTTTTTTCTTTGCGGAACAGGGATTTAACTCAGGCCCCTACTGAGCCATCTCCCTGGCCCCATAAAGTTCAATATTAATAGACTGCTCACAGAATATAACTTACTACTATACAATTATAATATACTTATAGGAATGTCATTTGCATATTAGATTCTATAAAAATGTGTATTAACAAACTTTAGAGTTATAATGAGGTTAAAGACCCTAGTAATGTTACTTTATAAAATAAATTCAATTAAAAAATATTTTAAAAAAGTGCAAGGGAAGATTTTCTACTTCCAATAGTGGACCATATTCCTTGTTCATGTCTATTGGAGGTGAAGGCCTATGCACTTTGACACAAAAGAATCAGTTCCACTTTTTAAAATGACAGTATATTAGCAGGGAATGGTGGTACGCTGCATTTATCTCAGCATTTAAGGAGCTGAGCTAGGAGGATCACCAAGTGTTTGAGGCCAGCCTGTGGTACCCAATGAGTTCAATGCCACCCTGAACTACATAGTGAGACCCTTTCTCAGAAAACAAACAAACCGACAGTGCATGAGTATAGGCTGCTTGCCATGCACTCAGTGTTAGTGAATCAAAAAATATGTATATTAAATGTATGTAAAACTGACAAGTTAGGGGCCGGGGAGATGGCTCAGTAGAATAAGCGCTTCCTTAGCAAGTGCAAGGGCCTGAGTTCAATCCCCGGTTCCGGAAAAAAAAAAAAAAAAAAAAAAAAAAAAAAAACAAAAACTGACAAGTTAACAAAAATGTTGTAACAGGAAGTTTGCAGAAACCTAATGCTGTATTTTTCTTAGGAAGAATGTTTATTTCAGATTACCTAAAAAAAGCCCCTTGTACTGGCAGCATCTTTTTTGTGTGTGTGATAGTCTTTTGGTTGTATGTGGATGTAGTTTAGGTCTGCTATGAATTTACCATGTAGTCCAGCCTGGCCTCAAACTTGCAGTGATTCTCTTGTATTAGCCTCCTAAGGGCTGGGATTACAGGCATGCATCACTATACCCATCTACATTTTTAAAAAAATATAATATAGCAAGAGTCTGTTTTCTGACATAATAGGCCGAATCACATAACAATTTTGCTTACAATAAGATAACTAGTTAACTGTTCATTGTCTACAATGATTTACACCATTCCAAAGGAAAAATGTCCCAAAATTTCAAATAAGAATATATTTGTAGCATTTATAACAAAATTTTAAAGTAAGTTTCCTAGAGCTGGTCAGATAGCTCAGTGGACTAAAGCACCTGCTTAGGCAGAGTGCAGTGGCCGGGGGTTCAATCCTGGAGATGCTGTGCTGGCCCCGGCCCTGGCTCTGCCTCGAATTGAGAGTGGGCATAGTGGCACACACCTGTAATCCCAGCCCTCGGGAAGCTGAAAACAGGAGATCCTGAAGACCCTGTCCTAAATACAATACGAAGGAGGGAAGGAGGGAGGAAGGAAGTTTCCTGGGCTTGGGATATAGCTCAGTGGTGTAAGCATCTGTCTGGCACAGTACAAGGTCCTGAATTCAATTCCTGACACAAATAAATAAATAAATAAAGTTTCCTTTGAGCACTGATAAATCTAGAAATGACCAAACCTTGTTTTCAAGAAAAATGTCTTACAATTGCTAACATCATTGAAACTTTTGTAAAATAAAGAAAGTATAAAAATGACTGATAGGCTGGGGAGATAGCTGAGTGGCATAAGTGCCTACCTGGCAAGCACAAGGTCCCGAGTTCAATCCCTGGTACAGAAACAAAACAAAACAAACCCCAAATGATTGAAGTCCAATTCCTGGTATTGAGGGATGCTTTTAAAATTCTAGAAAAATCCTTTCCCTAATACCTATGTATACACATATCTAAGTTTTCCAACTGGTAGAATAGTAGTAACATCTATGTAGGCTTAAGACATGATTAAAGTTTATTAAAATACTGCTAAGTGAGAAAACAGTGGTTTAATGAAAAATATAAACTACTAGATCAAGGTTGACCAAAAACAAATCAATGAGAAAAGCCTTTGGTGTGAGAAGTCTGTCAGAGAAACTGCCCAGGAATCTGTACTTAGTGGCTTATTCTGTTCTGCGGGTGGACATCGTGGAGGAAGCATAGTCAGTCTCTCTTTTGACTGCCATCATGTCTAAGTTAGGGTCTCCCAAGGAGCCCGACAGCTACGGAAGCTCTTCACCAGAGGGTTGAGCTCTGAAACAACTGATGAGAGTCTGAGGAGCCATTGTGAGCAATGGGGAACACTCACAGACTGTGTAGTAATGGGAGACCTGAACACTACGTGTTCCAGGGGCTTTGGGTTTGTCACTTATGCCACTGTGGAGGCGGTGGATGCAGCTATGAATGCAAGGCCACACAAAGTAGATGGAAGAGTTGTGTAACCAGAGAGAGCCATCTCAAGAGAAGGCACTCAAAGATCAGATGCCCACTTAACGGTGAAGATCTTTATTGGTGGCATTAAAGAAGATACTGAGGAATATCACCTATGAGATTATTTTGAATAACATGGAAAAATCAAAGTGACTGAAATTATGACCGACCAAGGCAGGGGAGAGAAGAGGGACTTTGCTTTGTAAACTTTGATGACCATTATTCTGTGGATAAGATTGTCATTGAAAAATATCACACTGTGAACAGCCACAACTGTGAAGTGAGGAAAGCCCCATAGAAGCAGGAAATGGCTAGCGCTTCATCTAGCCAAAGAGGTGGAAGTGGTTCTGGAAATTTTGGTGGTGGTTGCAGACATGGTTTTGGTGGCAATGACAGTTTCGGTCGTGGAAGAAACTTCAGTGGTCAAGGTGGCTTTGGTTCCAGCTATGGTGGAGGTGGATATGGTGGCAGTGGTGATGGCTACAACGGATTTTGTAATGATGGAAGCAACAATTATGGAGGTGGTGGAAGCTATAATGAATCTGGCAATTATAATAGCCAGTCTTCAAATTTTGGACTCATGAAGGGAGAAAAGTTTGGAGGCAGAAGCTCTGGGCCCTATGGTGGTAGAGACCAATATTTTACCAAACCATGAAATCAAGGTGGTTATGGTTGTTCCAGCAGCAGCAGTAGCTATGGTAGTGGCAGAAGGCTTTAAATACTTCCAGGAAAAAGCTTAGCAGGAGAGGAAAGCCAGAGAAGTGACAGGGAAGCTACACGTTATAACAGATTTGTGAACTCTGTTATAAGCAGAGTTCACAAATGGTGTCAGGGCCTAGCTGCTACAAAGAAGACATGTTTTAGACAATACTCATGTGTACGGGCAAAAAACTTGAGGACTGTATTTGTGACTAATCGTATAACAGGTTATTTTAGCTGCTGTTCTGTGCAAAGTGTAAAGCATTCCAACAAAGGGTTTTAATGTAGACCTTTTTTTGCACCCATGCGGTTGATTGCTAAATGTAATAGTCTGATGACGCTGCATGTCTTAAAAAAAAAAAAAAAGAAAAAAAGAATCTGTACTTAGAAGATTAGTGTAAAATGTCAAAGAAATACAAAGCTTCCACTGAAAATCTAATCTGAATACATTATCTTTACCTAAAGTGTTAGAAACCATAGGCCAGACACCAAGGAGCTCTTTTCAAGAGAAAAGGATCTGGTCCTATTGAAGCAACCAAAACGTTCACTCCTCCACTGTAAAGTTGAAAATTAAAGAAAAGGGGCTGGAGAGATGGCTCAGTAGAATAAGCGCTTCCCTGGCAAGTGCAGGGCCTGAGTTCAATCCCTGGTTCCGCCAAAAAAAGAAAAAAAAAAATTAAAGGGAATCCCTGACAGAAACAATGGACTCTGGCTGCCACGGACAGTCAATGGACAAACAATGGATACTGACATGTCATCAGTATTAACAAATGTCCAACTCTGGTGGGGGGGTGATAATGGCAGAGGCTGGGTATATGTGGGGAAACAGGGTATATAGAAAATCTCTATTTTCTTTTTTTTTTTTTGGCTCCGAATGCCCTCAGGGGTGGTTTGGCAGGCTGGAGTGTTGTGGGGATCGAACTACAGCATCCTGAGGCTGACAGCTTTGTGGAAGCAGCCACTTAAACAACTGAGCTAAGGCCAGGCGCCGAAAATCTCTATTTTCACCTCAAATTTCTCTCTAAAAAAAAAAAAAAATTAAAGTCTGTTAAAAAAAATGTAGGTGGCTATGGTAGTACATGACTATAATACCAAACGCTGAGAAAAGCTGAACAGGAGCATGATAAGTTGGGAGCTCAGTCTAGGCAACTTGGGGAGACCTTGTCTCAAAAATAAAACACAAAGGATGGGATGTAGCTCAATAGTAGAGCATGGGGCTGGTGAGATGGCTCAGTGGTCTAAAGCACCTATTTAGAACAAGCTAAGCAAACCACAGTGACCGTGGTTCAATCCCCCAGCACCACATGCCAGCCAGCCCCACCCCCTGGGGGGCTGAGCTGGCCACACACACACACACACACACACACACAAATAAAAAAAAAAAAAAATAGTAGAGCATGTACTTAGCACGTATGCGATTAAAACCCCAGTATCATCACCACCACTACCACCACTACCATACCCCCAGGTCAAAGGAAACTTATCTTTCCAGTTATCTAACTTTTTTTTTTTTTTTAATCTTCTGAGAGAGGCTCTTGCTATTTAGTCCAGGCTGGCCTCATGGGGATCCTCTAACCTTAGTCTCAGAAGTGTTGGGATTACAGGCATGAACCACCATACCTATCTTTCCAGTTAGAACCATATATTACAGCAATTAGATAGCCCTAATGATGGCAAGTTTTTATAAGAAGATGGTTTGGGCCGGTGGTGAGATGGCTCAGTTGAATAAGTGCTTTCTTGGCAAGCGCAAGGGCCTGAGTTCAATCCCTGGTTCCGCCCCCCCCCCAAAAAAAAAAGATGGTTAAATAATCCTAATTACATACTGATTCAGGCAAGGATTAACAACTGCCAAAACAATGACTTTTAAGACTGCTGAGGAAGTAGGCACTGATGTGTGCTATAAAAGCACTTCCCATTGATTCTGTGCCAGGTGCAAGATGAAGATATGGTGTTTAACCGCCATCTTTTTGGTTTTTGTTCTCTTTGAGCCAGGCTCTCACTATGCAGTTCAGGCTGGCCTTGAACTCACAAGGATTCTCCAGCCTCAGTTTCTCAAGTGCTGGGATTACAGGTGTGCACCACTATGCCCACCTTCACCTACCATCTCTTTAATTGAGTGCCCAGATAACATCAAACACAGCCATACTTTTTGGTATGACAAAATATAAAAATTATAAAGCATGTACCATGCTCCTTAAGGAACTCCTGAAAGAAAATGTTTGCTTTGAGTCTAATAAATGCCTAGATTTAAACTTCACAGTTAAGGGCCAACCAAATCGCTTAGCGGATTGAAGCACCTGCAAGCAGGCACAGGGGCCAGGGGTTCGATCCCCAGGCCTACTGTGCCAGCCCCGCCTGCGGGGCACGCTGAGAGCGCAATGACACTAGATGTGGTGGTGTGCACCTGTAATCCCAGCTCTTGGGAGGCTGTAAACAAGAGAATCACTACTAGTCTGATCTAGTAATGAGACCCTGAACGCTCTGTAGACCCTTCCCTAAAATACAGGGGAAAAAAAATAAATTTCAACGTTAAATACCAGGCACGGTAGTGTATGCCTGCAGTTCAAGAAACTGAGGCAAGAGAATCACTTGAGGCCAAAAATTTGAGGTTAACCTTGATACCACAGGAAGACCCAGTCTCAGCAAAAGGAAAATAGGACATTTTGGGGATAGGTGAGGAAATGTAAATCTAAGATAGATGCCTATAATCCTAGTACTCAGGAGGCTGAGGCAGGAGGATCACCGTGAGTTCAAGGCCAATGTCTGAATTGCATAGTGAGACCCTGTCTCAAAAAACCAAGAAACAAACCAACAAAAGA